TTTTATTACCGCCTATAGTTATATTATAAAGCTACTCTACTAACTTATAAAAAAGAACTATATATTTATATAGAGTAAGGACTATATAAATATCTTCTAGTAACTAAAAACTACTCTTTCTTCGGCGCCTATCTTAGTATACTACTATCCGGAGAGAGAGACAAGACTAGAAATAGATACCTCGAAGGATATTATCGTAGGAGTATTATCCTAGAAGCTAGATAGATTATAGTATCCTATTAGGTTCTTCTCTAAGACTATATTATCTAGAAAGCGGAAATAGGATATCTATAACCGGGAGATACTAGCGATTATAGAGAGTATAGATAATTAGCGGACTAAGCTATTAGGACTATAACGTAAAGAAAGATTCGAGGTCCTAATAGATTACCGGGCGTTAGAGTACTTTATATTATTAAAACTTCTAAATGCTCGTTAAGCTTACTAGGGTTTAAAACTTTCCTAGTACTATTTCGTTATCCGCTACCGACTAGGATAATAAAATACTCTTACGGATATATTATCCTACTTCTAGGTTAAATAATAAGGGAAACCGGAGAGCTAGATATTACTACCGGAATCCTACTTAGACCCCTAGATCGTAAATAAGTATAAGACTATTTAAATTAACCGACTCTATATTAGTAGTAACTTAATTAAATAGTTACTCTTAGTAAACCGGGATAACCTAGAGCTAGAAGTATAGCGTTAGGAAGCCGAATAGGAGAATTCCTTAAGTAGATTCGACTTACGAGAAGAGGTACTAATCCGTAATAAGAAGCTCGTAGTCCTAGTATATAGGTAGCTATAAATCTAGTTAATCTCCGAAGCCTATAATTAACTATCTTTAGTCTACCTAAGCGCTAAGAAGCTTTAGAAGTTCCTAGTAAGCTATTTTTAGTAAGAGACTCTCTACTAGGATATTATTCGGTTTTCGGATAACTATATAATATATAAATATACTAAAACCTAGCGAATAAAGACTCTAGGACTCCTAAACCTATTACTAGTACCGGATAAACCCTAGTAATATATCTCTATAGACTTTATATATCTACTAAAAGACCGATATAGATATAATAATACCTTAATAATAGTCTATAGATTAATAAAGCGGATAGTTTACGTATCCTTATTTAAGGATACTATAGCTAGGGATCTAGTAAAGTTATAGTTAATATACTATTATAGATAGATAGGACTTCCGGACTTAATTATATCGGATAGAGGACTATAGTTTATTATATTATTCTAGAAGACCCTATATAAGTTAATAGGGATTAAGTAGAAGTTATCTACTCCGTATTATCCTTAAATAGATAGATAGTCGGAAAATATAATCTAGTTATTATCTTAATAACTACGCGCCTTCGTAGATAAGTTCGCCGATAACTAGTCTAGCCTACTACTAATAATAGACTTTACTTAGGCGATTTTACCTTATAAGTCGACTAGGATCTTACTATATTATACCGAATACGGATATAAGCTAAGAATAATAGTTAATTAGTAACTTAGTAGTAGCGGATAGGATCTCTATAGGCTAGACTAGGAGATAGCTCGAGACTAGATAGATAAAATTCGCTAAGTTTATAAGTTCGTACGGGATAATATAGCTAAAGTATAGGAATATTAGTATACCTAGACGAATCGATATTATAGGGAGCTAAACTTCGATATTAGGGATCTTATTATAATTATAATAAAGAATAATTAGTAGATCGTAGAAGGGCTATTAGGTAAACTCTATCCGAAAATAGAGGGGCCTTTCCGGATTATCGAGAAGGTAGGATACGCTTTTCGACTATAACTACTAGAAGGATTATTACGATATAATATCTTTAACCCGGAGAAGTTACGCCGTACAATAAGTATAGATCTACTTCTAGGATAGCCTATCCCTAAACCGGCGATATAGGTTATACTAGAGCCGGAGTATAATATAGAGATAATCCTTACTTTGTAAATTAACCGGTCGAAGCTTTAGTATCGAGTAAAGTAGATAGAATTCGAGAATAATATAATATAGTATAATACTAGTAATTTCCGGACTATAGCTTCGAAACTCCGGGAATATTATAAAACCTATCTATCCCGCCCTAGATCTCCGGTAAATCTTAACTATTAGTTAAAGTACGAGGCTCTTAATAAGAAGCTACTAGTATACCTAGATAATAATATACTATAATATTACTACGCCTAAGGATAGTCGCGAGTCTAAATAGGGGATAATATAACGTATAGGTAATAAGTTACTAGTTAACTAGCTAGTCGGTTAACTAGTTCGTAAATAGACTTAGAGTATAGAGTTAGTTAGATAAGTTAACTAGTTAGTTACCGTAAACTAGTAAGTTTACTAACTAGTTAGTTAGCCGACTAGCGAGTTAGTATTAACTAGTAGATTAGTTAGCTAGTTAATAGATATAGACTTAGGGAGTTAAGGAGGAGATTATATAATCGATATTTATATTTATAAGATTAGATATTTATCTACGCGTTATTAATAGAAGCCTTACGCGTATATATACGCTAGAGCCTAAGGATTATTTACCTTTCGGTTTACTTCTATAGAGGAATCTTCTATCTAGGACTTTCTATAAGGATTCTACCGTCTTACTATAGCCCCGTCTACGATAGGTATTTAAGGTAGTACTTTATCTTCCTTATTTCTTCCTTTCCTTTTTCCCCTTCGTCTTAGTTTTCTTCGTTATATAGGATATAGTTACTTCACCTTCCTTCTTCTATACGTAGGTTATCGTAGCTATACTACCTAGGAGTTATAGGCCTATAGCTACCTTAGGTATCCTAACCCTTCCTTTTCGCGATAACTAGAACTAGATAAGCTATAACCTTACCGTACGGCTCTGTTCGGTTATATAAGGACCCTTAGTCCTCTATATATATATAGTCACGTCTGTAGCCATACTTAGAAGAACTATATCCTATCTACCCTCTGGATCTTAATAGATAATCCTTCGGAATATCTTAAGATTACCGATAAGGAATTTTATAATAATAACTAAAATAATACTCTTTAATAATTTAAGATATTTTTATAAGTTTATTATTTTTAAATATTTTTAGTAATTTTAGTAGATATTTTAAAGATATAGTTAAAATATGTAGTAAGTTATAGGGAAATTTCGGTATTTTAACTCTAGAAATATCGCTAATTATACTTCCTAATATCCTAAAAAATTTATCTCTATATCTATAGAATCTATAAAATCTTTAGGCTATAGCTAATACTCCTAGACTAAGGTCTTCTTACTTAGAGAGCAGGCCTTAAATATTAGTTTTTATATTTAATCTTCTAAAAAGATAGCTATCTTAATAGATCTATTAGCTTTCTCTATAATAGAGACTATTATATCGCGTAGCTAGATTTATCTAAGGAGAAGTTTAGCTATATAGTCTTTTATAATTATATAGTAAGAATATATAGTAATATTACCGATCGAGATAGATAGATCCTCTGTTACTCTATAAAATAGATGTATTCGGCTATTAATAGGTACTATATAAAGCTTTAGATCTTTTTAAATACTAAGGTCTAGTATTCGAGTAGTTTCTAAGGAAATAAGATTAACTAATAATCCCTAATTAATTATAGCTTCTAATTTATAGCCTTATATATATACCTTCGTACGCAGAAGTCCTCTAGTATACTCCTTAGCTATATCTAAATTCCGCGGCGCTATAACTCGTACCGATTTCCTAAGGTCTAGTACTCACGCGTTTACTTTATCTATCTTCGTAACCTTGGCAAGGTCTAAGTAGCGGTAGTACGTAGAAACCAGAGAGGCTTCAAACCGACGCACGAATAATAGGGGTCCAAGAGTCTATTCATAGAGTTAAGGAGGTCTAAGAGTCTGTATACAGAGGTAGGGAGGTCTAAGAGTCTGTATATAGAGGTAGGGAGGTCGGTTCCGAACCGTCTGGCAGACGGTCACCTAACGAGAGCGTAGGGGATTCATCTGACGGGCGGTCACCTGACGAAGACCTAGAGGGTGATCACCTGACCCCAGAACTTCAACAAAGGCGATCCCCTTACAGTAGCTGGCAGCCTTGTGGCACAACATTCACACTTGCTCGGAGATTAGCAATACCGGGCTGTACAAGGCTATGGCAGATCAGGTGTACAAATACCGAAGCTCATGACGACTTGAATTTGAGCATCAAGTAGTTACTGTAGTCGCGGAACAACACGCTGATGTAGTAGTGTGCCAGTCTATAGAGGACCGGGTTCCTGTCTCCGCAATACATCACCAAGAGCCTCACGACTCATGCAACCCGAGTAACTCAAGCCAGCATCTACCATACTTGGGTCAAAGAGCTTGAATGGGCCAGAGAGTAGGAAGCCAAGCAACGAAGAACGAGAAGAAAAAAGTAAAACAGTCATATGCGAGACGGGGCACGTGTCCAATGAACGGTGGGGGGCCCTGCCATGGGCTCGTGAGCGGCGCCCCACGCAAGGCTGAGCCGGGCACGTCCTTTTTGCCGTTTCCTCCATTCCACCTTTCAAACTCCACACTCCACTTTTGCCCCGGACAGGAAGTAATGATGTGGGAACCAGTCTGTCCATCAGGTGCGGTTGCCGGGTCTGGCAAATGCACGCAGGGCTACAGTGCCGGCACTGCCCCTACCCACGGACTAGTGAAAGATACGAATCCATATACGATTGGAGGGAGATCACGTCGTGCTCCCATCGATGGCTCGGGGGTGCTTCCTCGAGGAACAATGACCCTGTGGGGGCCGGTTGAGCCAGCTCAGTCAAGTCGCGGTAGGACCCTCGGCTGAGTTGACTATAAAGATTGACTCTCTCCACATTCAGGTCGACAATGTGGTTGCGATTACACATCACCTAGCAACAAAACGACGTCTGCTCAAAGATCCCATCATAGTTCTAGTGACACAAGCTCATTGTTGCTCCACTTCATTTTGTATCTTTCTACTTCTCACCGATTCACACTACTTTCTCCTCCCGTGGGCTGTGAACCATGGGGTCGCTCATGGACGGAAGGTCCAAGCATGACCTCTGTCAGGAAGAAGGTCATGACCAAAAACACTCTTCGGGCGCATCGGAGAACAAGGAGTTTGACCGTCCTCCATCTTATCGTGAGAGTGATGAGAGTGATGAGACCTATCCGTTACCTGGATTGCCCGAACTTCGTCTCACGGGCATCGTTCTTAGTGACACTATGAAGACTGTGACTCCTGATCAGGTCGTTGCACACCTCAAGTTCCTAGCTGCTCTAGCGGACCTCCGAGACTACATATCGGGATTGGACGGTCTGTTCGGTATCCATGATTCTGAGGCCGATGAAGATCCTCAGAAGGAGGAGGCGCACGCTCGTCTGCGTGAGAAGCGTTGGGCCGTGTACACGGCGCGCGCAGTTCGTCGGTACGAAACGTACTGGGACCTCATGCCATCATCACAACCCCCGGTGACTATGGACGATCTAGAGGATGTCAACTACAATAAAATCGTGGACTGTAAAAGCATGGTGGGATGGTCGGAGTATAATCTACCGCCCCTTGGTCAGTGGTTGACGATCACTTTCCCCGAATTTACCGTTTGTTGACTCACTTGCTAATCAGCCCGATATAGACATCCTGATGGTGATGCACTCCCACATGCTCAATCCCAGAGACTTTTTGGAAGACTGCATCCGTTCGGGCAAAATGAGCTTTTGGAAGACTGGATTTCCCATCGCCTCAGTATACGAGTGTATCGATGAGAGGACGCTAACATATCGCGCATCCGAGTCGAGAAAAGCGGATTTTGTGTGTCGAACCGGCATGCAATGGGACAATTTGGAGGAGTCACCCTACACAACAGTGCGATGTCCCTCCTGCGAGCAAACCATGGAAGTGCCCTGGACCAAACGAGGAGCGGGCTCTGATGCGAAGGAAGCCCTCAGAAACTCGACAGGCTTCGCGGACCGATGTTTTCAGGCTACGTGCAAACAGTGCGCCTTCCTCATTACTCATGATCGGCTCCGTGTTGCCAAATTCCGCCATGATCTGATGGAGCTTTTCGAGAGAAACCGGCCAATGCCGGGCACTGTTTACAACGTTAACGGCATCCCGGAGAGCAAGGATTCCCAACGGGGGAAAAGGAGCCGACTTGCCGCTCAAATGCTGTTTCCAAACCATCTGATGCGGATATTGAAGAACCAATTGCTGGGTTGTACTGACGCCCGACTTGGTCGATGTCTCGACATCGCGGACCTGCGTCGGGAGATCGAGGGGCAGATCAAACAACGCATACATGTGGCTGCAGCCCACACCTTCGGCAAGAGCGGGTCGAGCTCTACCCTCCAGCCTGCTGAAAGGATTCATTTCCGTCGTATGATGTCGCACTACTGGGAAAATTTCAGTCCCTTTGCACTCGATCTCGTCGGTGCGGTAATCCGTCAAGGAACTTTCGTGCAGAAGATGGACAAGATCGATTGGCTACACTCTCCAACTGTCATGAAGACCGCCGACCGCCTGATTGATAAGTACCGAATTTTTGTCAAGATTATGATGGAGAACCCATCCAAGATGGCTGTTCCGACCTTGGACGTGGATCTCGCCTGGCATACCCACCAACTTCAGCCCCAGCGATATTTTAGATACACCACAGAGCCCAAAGATGCGACTACGCGCTTCCAGCCGATCTTTATTGACCACGACGACAAAGTCGCCGAGGACAAACTATCCGATGCTTTTGAATGGACTACTAAGATGTACCGCCGTATAACTGGGGGTGATGTCTACAGCGAGTGCACCTGCTGGTATTGCGAGGCCACACGCGCACCAGATCTGTACCAACGCTTTTTCCGCTTGGGCTCCACTTCGCGCGCTCTCAACAATGCGCAGACGCTCCATGATAGGAGAGACATCTCATCAGACCCTGAAAGGAATCCGCACATTTCTGCACACAACGCTGTGAGACCAAGTGAAGGGCCCGCCAGCGATGTCCAAGCTCGAGCACGAAACCTTCAGGCTTTGCGGCTCCGTCGCAATTATCAGACAGCTGCACGAAGAGCTGAGAAACGCGGGCAGGCTCGTTCAGACGCGAAGAAGACTCTCGAAGGAGGATATGAGCCCTACTACTATTATCCATATGCATGGGGTTACCCCGTCGTGATACCCTACTACGGTCCCTACATGTGTGATCCGGGTATCAGCTCGGACAACTACGCATGTAACCCCAGCTGTATGAACGTCGGGATAGGAATGACCGGCAATTGCTGTGCCGGAACATGTGGTGGAGGAGTTGCCGCTGGTGCATGTGGGGGTGCTGGATCCGCTGCTGGCTGTGCCACTGGCGCATCGTGCGGAGGAGGTTGCGGCAGTGGTGGCGGTGGATGCGGTGGAGGAGGTGGTGGTTGTGGAGGAGGCGGCGGAGGCTGAATAATCGAAGACTGAAATTATGGCGCATTTTCTTGGGATGTCATCCTCGAGGAAATTGACTCTTTGTTGTCATATTTTTCGTGACGGCTCTTATGTCCTTGCTGATGACTTGGCAATGTTGTGTCTCCTATGCCCCTTCATTATCTCTATGTTTTTTATGTCCGGCCATCTACGCTCACTGTGACCGTCGAGACGCCTTCGCTGATTGAGCTGGTTGGTTTCCATTACGCTTGTAATTCACGTTTCTTTTCCCTGAGCGACTCGCAATGAACAGAATATAAATACCTCCGCTGGCACTACTGCGGGATTTCAAGAGACCCAAGCCCTCCAGCGCATCTACATCTGCCGTACAAGTAGTTCATGAAATGTTCAAGTTTGATTCAGTAGGGTGACAGAAATCGCGTCCCTCTAGGATAGATCTATGCTGATGCCCAGCGGCTACGAAGTCGACTTTTCAATGAACCTCAAGCTGGCCACATTGAGGTCGTCGTGTATGATATGTATGATATCAAACTATGCAGCTCGCAGTTGGCTCTCAAAGTCGCACGAAGTACTCTGCTTACGGAACGACGTGGCAGGAAGGACCTTAATCGGGCATAGCCACCATCATTCCATTGTATAGTACAGTGCGAGCAGCCACTTCCCCCGGTGATTGACTGAGGTGTGGCGTTGGCAGTCGACCCCCGGCGGACTGGCATTCAAAAATCACCTCCAAATCATGGAAACCTGCATCTCACTCATCTGGGGAAATCTAGTTTGTACATCTTGCCTCGACCGATGAGAACTATCCAGCGCGTGTTCCCACAGACAGACGCTCTGTAATTGCCCGGCTGCACTATATACATAGTAGTGAGTGCCCGATAGCACTACATGACAAGACATTTGCTTCTTCGTTTTCGACTCCGTTCTCGAATCGTCTGTTCATTCCAGTTTTCAATGCGTCTTCGCCATTCTTCATTGGCTGGCGGAGGCAAGCTGGGAGGCTCGGTTGATGCTCGGCGGCGAAAGGATCGTTGTCTGGCAGGTATGTCTGCTTCCTCGTCTTCCTCGGTGAGGTCTAACGCGTTTCCTGATGGCTGGGGGATGTGCAACAGATTCGGTGAGGATATAGAGTAAGAAAGGTAGTTGTCGCCAAGAAGCGTTGCATGTAGAGCGGCTTGTTCCTGATGGGTTGGCTCTTCCGCGGTGTGGAGTCTGAGGGTGGGGAGCGGTTGTGTGGACAGGCTATGATCTGCAGGATCGGTGAAATGGTAGGTATTTGGCCGGATCGAATTGATAGGAGCCGAAGGAGATGACTGGAAGTGAAGATCACGTGAAATGGCATCGTGCGTCATCAAAGGCTCTCGTGATGTTCCGTACGGGTCGATCATGTTATGACCAAGAAATTCTGGGCCAGACGCCTCGACCATCCCGTTGGCGAGGCTACTCTGGCTTCTGTCAGTGCGTCTGGAGCCGGTCAACGAACCCAACCTCTGCAGGAAGGTTGAATGAGGCCGCGTGCGATCCGGGAGCATCGCTCGTGTAACGTATGTTGTTTGAGATCGTGAGATTGATTGCGCTGATCCAGCAGCCTCCCCTTCAGAAATTAGTGGTCTCCCCGGGCGGAGCGAGCTCTGAAACACGGCCGACAATGAATGTTCAGCTTTGCGGCTGTAGGGTGGTGGAGGTGGGACCCAGTCGTCAGCATCATTTTCATGTGGAATTATTCCATGTGCAGCACTACTGCGATATCGTGGATCATAGCGTCCTCGAGTTGATGCTGCAGCTGTCGCAGCTCGGCGAAGGGTGTCCTGTGAACGAGGTTGCGTATTATCATAGGGAACTTCAACCACTTCACCACCTCGAGTCCGTCGGTTGACCAGCGGCTCAGCTGCAGCGGCGACTTGGCCAGGATCGACAAGCGCGTGCTGGCTTAGGGTCCGTCGAGTGTCTCGTGAGAGCGCAGTTGCACGCTGATGCATGGCGCTGGTGAATACAACCGAATCTGTTTCCACGCGTTGTAAACGAGTGCGTCGCCGTTCCAACTCCACCTCCATATCCAGCGAAGAATCTGGCTCCGACAGCACTATCGGCGAAGTAACGCCTACCTCAATGTCAAGTTGTTTTTCCTCTCCATTCGTCGTAGACCGTTCGAAATCCAACATCAAAATTCGTCCACCATCTACAGGAACATCTTCTTGGCCAAGAAGCTGAGCGCGTACTCCACCGGGTGCCACAGCGATAAATCGACGGCTTGCCTGGCGGGAGGCGATACCGTTGTTCACCCAGCGGCCTGAGCTGATTCCCTCCATGCAAGTCACTTGTCGACCCCGAATGATAGCCTTCTTCGGTTGTTCAATAATCTTGGCCAACTGAGCTCGATTATCAAAGACATTTGCTTGTCCATCATCGTGATGATCACCGCATAGGTATGTAACACTGGCACTTCCTGCTTCAGGAACAGGTGGTGTACTGTCAAGTCTTGCGGGTACTCCGTATACCCAGATCGCCGATTGTTCGAACCCTAGCGCAAGTAGCTCCCCAAACTCGTCTGTAGATGGCAGCATGAATGGGCTCGTCTCCCGAAGCTCGTCAGGAATGAAGGGTGTTGCAAAGAAGACACCCCCGGCATTGACTGCGTCGGCTTTGATCGATCGAAACGCAGCCAGAGAATTATCGTATGCAATGACCCAGCCGTCGTTCGTCTCTTCGTGCCCGTGAACGAAGCAAGCGTAACTGAAGTCGGGAATGAAGTCAGGAAATAGAATTTGCGTCGTCCACATCCGCATTTGCAGCTCTGCTAACGATGCATCGATGCCAACATCTGTGTCGAAAGGTGCGGTGATTGTGACAATGCCGGCCTTTCCGTTGCCAGTGGGTGATCCGAGAAGTATTGAGCCATCTGGGGAGAAGCAAAGAGCATCAACTCGAGGGCAGCGTGCAGCCCGACGCTCGGTTGCCAGGGCGCTCTCGCCAATCGCATACACCTCAAGGCAGTCCTCGAAGGACAGAGCCAAGACACTACCCGTTGGTGCAAAGGACAAGTCTTTCGGAGGATCGTTCAGCGTGATAGTTTGTAAGTGTCTTGCACCTTCGTCTGACAATCGGTAGATATTGATACGGTGAGCAGATGATTGGACAGCTAGAAGAGTGCCATCATCCAGGATCGTCGCTCCTAGCGGACGACGACGAGTCTGTAGCTCGTATTTCACAGCTATTGGATCTTTGGTGACTTCTAAGACCACTATACGGGATGAGCTGATGCATAGCAACAAGGCCCCATGCGTCGAGAACGCAAAGCGGAATACTTCGCCTTGGGGAAACGGGGTGGACGAGCTCATAGAGCTAGAGAGCAAACGGACCAACGTCCGCCGAGGGCGAAGAAAAACATCAAAGGCATTGCGCCTGATTTGTTCAAGAAATTGACTTTTCAGATCCGCCAAACACCTCGTCGGAGCAGAATCTTCCATTTGCGGGCCCGTTGCCCATGTTAGTGAAGCGCATTGTGACAAGTGGTGAGCATACAGAGAGGGTGACTCTGAGACCTTTCTCCATCGTCGATTCAGGAGCGCCAAAGAAGCGAATCCATTTGCATCGGCGACATACAAAATGCTACAGGGACAGAGGATGTCAGCTCCTGCGGCAAGCTCGACGCCTCCAGCCGCACGGTCACGGAATCCTGACAAGCTGCCTTCTCATCAGGACGAAGGCTGACTTACAGCTCTATCACACTAGGAGGCAGCCGAGCAAAGGCATCAGTTCCACTGGAAGTGGAGGCCTCCTCCTCCATCATGATCCGCGCTGGTCGTCGACATGGACAATCTCTTTCAGATCGAACAAGAGTGAGGTACTCATGGACAAAGGTGGCGGTGCTTCCCCAACCTCTCTCGGACTAACTTAGTTACCTCTTGAGTCTTGACCTTTTTCAACAATACCCCACTTGGCGACCCGCCCGTCAAGTTGATCGCCTAATAATACTACGAGTACGGGTTGTCATAAATAACTGGAGCCTCCTTAAGGCCTGAATTTCTTGCGGCCTTGATGCCTAGTGTGACCTGAGTTGAAAGCATTACTGCCTCAGGCATTCACCGCCGCTATCGCCAGGGCCCAGACACGTGCCGGTGACTCAAGCCGGTTCCCCGCAGCGCCCAACCGAACGTTCGGTTCCGCGACTTGACGCTGGGTTTTTTTTTCTGGCAGCTGGTTCTGTCTCATTTGAATACCCACCGTCTTGGATTGTGGTCAATTTCGCAGTTTATCATCTCTTTCATTGTCGACTGGTCGACCATGACAATTCAGCCAAGGCGTACAATGAAGTGTTCCACGCCTTAAACCAAGGTTCAGCGAATGAGCTCTCCTCTATGCTTATATCGCAATCGGCCGGCTTGTACCCCTCACTCTGCTCATCTGCGATCGGCCGACTCCGACGGAGGTAATCATCTCCAGTATCTGTCCTTCAGCTTTCTCCACTGCGCTCCAAGAAGTTTCCCGATACCTGTTGGCAATTCGTTCTCAAGCTAGCGCATCATGTCGCCGGCAACCTTGCAGGTAAACTCGTCCACAAAGCTATCCTCGCCAGGGTTCAATGCTGGCGCGCGACCTTACCGATCACACAAGGTGCGTGCTTGCGACTTGTGTCGGAAGCGCAAGTCGCGATGTACAGTCGATATTCCAGGTCAATCATGTCTTCTCTGTCGCGTGCAAGGGGCAGACTGTCACTATCAGGAAGAACAGAACCCGGATGCCACAACCTTGAATACCGCCGAGACCAAGCCGTGGTCGGGTGTCCCACCGATTGAGCCTGTCTTGGGTCAGAAACGCAAGCGATCACCCGAGAGACTCAGTCCCTCACGCCAATCTATCAATGGACCCAGTCCGCAAGGCACAACGTCTTCTGGGCGCCGTGGCAGTGATGCGCGGCGGAAAGAGGAAGATCCACACAACGAGTCGGTTCTCATTGTCGGTCCCATGGTTGCCGAGGATGCGCAAGTCATTGAGCAGCATATGCCTCCAGAAAGATCGAGCCTGTCTGAAGAACCGAACAGCCACCCATATAATATCTACTCGAGTGACCCGCGGAAGCCGGTGCTGTATACGACGATTTCCAGGCGACGGAAGGGCATGCGACGGGGCGTTCCGCCCGGGGAAAATCAGAGAGAAGTCTTGGAGCAGATCTTAGGGCCATTCAAACAAGATCTCGTCAAACTGTAAGAGTTGTCAATTTTTGTGCCCGTCTTTCTGTGTGCAGATACTAATTGAGTTTCCATGCTACAGCTTCATCGATCGGTTCAATGTCGCCTTTCCGATTTTCGATGGGGAACAATTCTGGGAGTCATACACAACGGATGGACTGGAGGATCCTCCTGCCTCATTGATTTGTCAAGTCTATTCCATGTCTCTTGTGTATTGGAAACACACCCCCAAACTTGCGTGTCATCCGAAGCCAGATGTGCGATACGCAATCAACATGACAGTGGCTGCGCTGCATGAAGAATTCTCCGCCCCTGGCTTATCCACCATCAGTGCTGCTCTGATCGATTTGACGGGAAGACCTATATTCTCAATGACAGGCAATGCGATTAGTTGCGGACGAATGCTGTCGTTAGCAAACTGTCTCGGACTGAATCGCGACCCAAGCCACTGGAAATTGTCACCGCAGGAGAAGGATCAGCGCACGCGTCTCTGGTGGGGAGTTGTCATTCACGATCGATGGTAAGCTATTTCCATATCACAGATATGTGACCGCGATCAACTTCTCATTCACTTTAACAGGGGAAGTTTTGGTCACGGTGTTCCGCCACAGATTTCTAAAACGCAATACGACGTGCCTTTGCCAAGCGTCGATAGCTTAGTGCCGCCGCATCTTCGAACAACCGAGCGCGTGAGAGCTGCGCATTGCCACATATTCCTTTGCAAATTGACAGAGATTCTTGGGGAGCTTCTCCCACTTGTGTATGGTCTTCAAGCGAAGCCAGCGCGCGAAAGCTCCAAGAAGCTCAGACAGATTCGCACAGATTTGGATTCTTGGGAGGACTCTCTCCCGGACTGGTTGAGGTCACCTCATAATAATCACGGGGAAACCCTGGCAGCTTCTAGCAGCTTGCAGCTTGCTTTTCTCGCCGTCAAAATGCTCGTCAGTCGTGTGGAATTGAATGTAAGGTTTTGGATTTCTGATAATATGCGAGTATCACAAGGCTTATCAATACGAATTTAGGAGGTCAACAACGCAGACACGGACAACCCTGAAGCTCGGCGCTACTTTCAGACGGAGTGTCGTCGGTCTGCGGAGGACATTGTTCGCTTCATAACTTCCTTGAGGAAGGAGAATTTCAAAGAATTCTGGCTACCTTGTGAGTGTACCGTGCGACTTCCGGCATCTGTTCATATGTACTCATTCGCATCTTCGTCTTCAGACAGCGCATTCCACCTCACATCTACGGCTACCCTTTTAGTGCGCTGTGCACTGGAAACGAATGATTCCGAGGTCGCTCGATCGTGTCTATCTAACGTTGAAACTCTGCGCACCGTCCTCCGTCGGGTTCGAGAAGAAGAGGACTGGGATGTGGCTGACATGTGTCTCGACCACTGCGAGCGAATTATGCACAGGCTTCCTGGAACTGGCGCCACTATCGATCAGCCAATGACTGCAGCAATGACTGAAAATGCTCTCGTCAATCCAGCTGCAATCTCACTGCCGGAGACACAAACCAACAACGACATAGTCGACGACATGATGTCTATATCAAATACATTCGGGACGATGGATGGTTTCCCGTTCGACATGACTGGCATTTGGGATGTCTCCGTCTTCCAAGATGTCAATTTGACATGAGAAGTGAGCTGTGAAGTGAATCAAAGACTCAATCCATGGATAGCTGAGCTCAACACGCCATGCTAGAACCTCAGTGGGATGTCATGCTTTCGCATAAGCCAAACTTGGTTTCAAAGGAATTTTCTTCAACACAGTTGTATATACCCCAATTTTAATCAATGCGAGAGTTGAACAATCACTCTTGGACATTTTCATCTAGTAAGCACATGATAATGAGACCCAAGTTTCGATCATATTAAAATCATCTCCCGAAGTTTTGTACATGGTGAACTAAGAAACATGAGCCCGTCAAGAAACATGAGCCCGTCAAGTATTCAAACGCTTATTTTACACTCATTCCTCAAGGATGCAGACACAGTCACTGACTCCAGAAAGGGAAAAAAAACCCATCAAATGACCTGGCCCCTGCCCTGAAATGACGAACACTAACCACTCCGTAGAAGGAAGACGAGTGACGAGTGAGAATTATAGAGATGGCAAATTGAAGGAGCTGCCTGTGCATGAAGCGAACCAGGTTCTGCTTTACTCCTTGCTAGAGCCCATTCCAAACATGCCCGTGAAGGAGCCCTTCATGCTGTTCATTTGCTCCTGACGAGCCTTCTCCTCTTCAGCAGCCATCTCGGCCAACCATTTCTCACCATTTTCGCGAATCTCGCGATCAATCATCTCGTAGTTCTTCTGGCCGCGCTCACGAATCTGGTCCCAGACCATCTTACCCTGGGCGAGACCCTCAATGGGCGATGGCTCGCCATCCAAGGTCCGGCTGGACTTCAAACCGAGAGCGGAAGCAAGGCTCCCCATGCCAATTGAAGGCTTCTTTTTCTGCTCCTCCTCGAGCTGCTTCTCGAAGCGCTCGCGCATGGCCTTCTCACGCTTGGCGAACTCAACAGGGATGTTGGTACCCTCAAAGGACTTGAGGACGGTGCGAACATCCTCCACACCCATACCAGCAAGATATTCGAGGAAAGGAATGAGGGCCACAAGGGTCTTGTCCTTGGAGTCTCCGGTCCACTTATCCAAGATGATGGAGTTCTCGGGTTGTAAGCGGGCGTGCTCTTCTTTGGTGTCGATCAGGATGACCTTAGAAAGGTCACGATTCAAGTATGACAGGTCCTGCGAGAAGAAAGCAAATTAGTCACTTTCATCACATTGATTCCGATAGGCTGTGCAAGAGTTACCTTGATATACTCTCCGTCCTTGTAGCGGGTAGCCTCACGGAAAAGAGGCCAGCGAATGATACGGTATGGGTCAAGTTTGCGAAGCACCTGGTCGGCCATCATGCTGGGAACGCTGGTGAACAGAACGAGCTCGTAGTACTGATTGAGGTATCGAAGGAAGTAGTCAACACCGGGACGTTTAGCAACGCGCCACCCGTGCTCTCTGCTCCATTCACTGTGCACGAGTAAGTCCTCCAGAGAAAGGACCAGGGTGTATGGTTGGCGCATCGTAGGGTCCTCATCAGGAAGCAGCTTAGGAAAAGCCGGGTCCTTGTAGTAGCTCGTCAAGTCTCCAGTGCGAGCCTTGATACGACCCCACCAGAGACCAGGGCTCCATCCAGAAGGAGTTTCTGTGTGGGCGCGCTCCTCCTCCTCGGTCTCCCAGTTGCGACCCAGGTAGCCCATTCCGGCAATACCCGCAGCCAGCATTATAGCGTACATGATGTTGGCCATGCGGGCCTTGCGGCGATCGAGAGAGGTCTCATAACCACTCTTGGGAATATCACCACCGCCGCGACCACTACCATCTTCACTGTAGTCCTCCGTGCGGGTGTGGTCCTCGGTGATATTCAGCGAACCTTTCCTCTGGCGTGCCTCGAGCTCTGCTGCCAACGTTGACGGAATACCTTGCGTCAAATCCGGAAGAGGCTTGTGGGGGATTGGTTCGGATTCATCCTAAGATTGACGCTTGATTAGAACTGCGTTGATTTTCAGAAAAACATATGATAAAGAGCTCACAACTGTCGTTGACTCAGGCGTTTCGGTTTGAGGCGTGCCCTGTGTCTCGGCGTCGGATTGTTGGGAAGCAGCTGTGTTTTTTGTGACCTTAGGCTCTTTTCGCTGAGTATCCTTGCCCTGCAAAGACCCTGGGAGCGTGTAGGGAGTGTTGGTCTTGCCCTTGGCGTACCACCTGGGACGCTGGGCTGATAGAGCGGACACCCGGACGGTCGAGGCGAAGGCGTTTCGCCTGGCGAGAGGCAGCACGGCACGACTCAGCATGACGAGATAGGTAATTCAGTTGAGATGAAAATTCAATTAAATGACAAGAGATCGATGCGCTCATGCCCTTCAAGTGAGCTTGATGAACGATACCGAGTATGCGCTTCCGGCTCAAGTCAAGGTTCCCGTAGAAAAGTCGGCGCGGCGCGGAGGATTCGGTGACGCACAGATACCAGCTGCGCAAAGGCTTCTTATTTCCTTCGAGTTGACACCGCGGTGGATTCCTCTTTTTTCTCTTCTTCACCATGAAAGTTACACCCAGACATTAATTTGACCCAACATCCGCCTTCCACGAATGCTGGGTTGTATTAGCTGGGGAGACGAAGGAATTTATTTCTGATTCCCACTTCCAAGAGCCGCAGCGAAGGCATCCTCTGATGCTGTAGCTCCGTACGTGGGTCACATTCATTACATATCCATTCCGTCTACTTGGGCATCACTCGAAGCCAGACCACTAGTGTGCCGGTATTTGTTACTCTCTTTGGTCTTGCGATCACAGAAGCATACCGCGCTGCGCGTCTTCCAGGCGCTTTGAGTCTTAATCCAAAATCCAAAACATGAATACCAAAGTCCATCCATATTTGCCGAGCCGGGTATAGACTGTGGTTGATAAACTTCGCCCCTTTGCCACCTCCTGCTAGGAAACTTTCTCTCTTTTTCAACATGCGTCTCAAGAAATCGCAAAGGGCCGAGTTCTTCGATGAGGATGAAGAAGTCGCCCGACCCAAGCCAAGTCGTGCTACACGCTCATTGAAACCATTTCGCCTACTCGATCTCCCATCCGAGATCCGGGAACGGATCTACCACTTCGCTCTCTTCACTCCGTCACGGAAAAGCGCCCGGAAGAGAAACGGCACGGTTGGCGCTTCCGCAAAAAAACATAAGGCTTTTTCGCCCACAGCCCAGCGCATTAATTTGTTCCTGAGCTGCCGTCGCATCCACGATGAGGCCAGTTACTACTTCTTCTCGACACAAGTATTTCGACTCTTCTCCATCCAGGACTTCGCGCAGATGCCGACCGTCCGGCAACTGCCCCGTAGCCACCGAGGCTCGGTGACAACGATTGAGCTGATCTTGGGAAATAGCTGGACTGCACCTCCCAAGAACTATACTGTTAATCAGGGACTGGGTCTCCACGATATGGTATTGACGCGGACACTCAAAGTCTGGATCGAGTGCGACCCCTCGCAGCCAATCTTCGAGGGATTTCGCATCTCCAAGGATTTCTATACGGACTTTGCTGGGAACTTGCTCCGACAGATCCTTGAACGTCTTCCCAACCTGGTCCAGGTCGAGTTTGATGCATATCCGTCAGTACATAAGAATGGAGGGTTGATGACGCGGTTGCTAGAAGAGACTCGAAAATTCGGAAAGAAAGTGCTATGGGGTCCGGAGCGAGGCTGGGTTGACGATGAGGACGATTTCGATCCGCCTGAAGAGGACCTTGTCGATTGTATCGGTGACAATCTGCAATCGGCACAGCCGGCCATGGATATCTTGAGTGAGACACTGCAGCTCATTAGGTTGGAAAGGGAGGCAGTGGCTGTTTAGCCTTCCGCACATTGATGTGATAGATATGATCATGATTTTTTACATTGCGCGGCGTTTTAGACTAGATTTCATGCGCTATATCCAAAATTTATGCTCACGGGGTTTGACTGGTTTACTCATCTCGTGTCATCAAGGACTACACTAATAAGCTTCACCGCTACTGGGAGGTAAGAGATCCTCCTTTGTGCTAACTTCCAAACCAGCCTTAGATGCACATGGTAGGATATTAAGGCAGCGGTGGTTCGTAATTCCCATTCCTCTTAATCTATGCGCGTTTTGGCTGCAGAATGTTTAGAGTTCCTCGTCCAGGTCCATGGAGGTGCCATTGCCGGTGTCCTTGCTCGCTGATTGCCGAGCGACTGATGCCTCCTTGTCAATCATCTGCCTCGACACGGCCACAATGTTGTCTTCAATCAGCTTCTGGCTGACATCTTCGATATCTGCAGGGAACATTAGCATGAGGCAAGGACTGTCATGGAATCATCGGCCTTTGACTTACGCTTTTTGGGATCGACCTTGCCGACATATCTTGTCTTCAACTGCTCCTTTGTGAGCTCGGTCTCCTCCTTCACCCGCTTCTCGTAGCCTTCGGCAAGGCTCACGAGCTGCTTCATCTGCTCCACGTTGTGTTCACCCTCCTCGTGGAAGTCTTTCATTTGCAAAGCCTCGGTCCATACGTGCTTGTGGAGGTTCATCAGCATGTTCTCTTCCAAACCTGTCTTCCGGTAATTGATGGCAATGCTGTAGTAGTGGCGGTTCAACCCATGAATCAAAGCCTGAATGGAGGGCTTGTTCAAGTGGCCTAAGTTTGACGTCGTTTGACGAGGCTCCTGACCCATCACAACGGTCTGTGGTTGAATAAGACGGAAAGCATCGATGACGACCTTGCCCTTCACAGATTGAATGGGATCAACGACAACGGCAACAGCGCGAGGAGTAAGTTGCTCGAATGACTGCTGCGTGTTGATATCGACGGAGGAAAGCCAGCACCCAAAACCGGGGTGAGAGTGATACCAGCCGACAACAGTCTCCGGTCTAGCGAGCAAGAAGCCTCGTCAGTAATGCTTCGAAGGTCGCATAATCAAATTGGCGCTTGGCGTACCGTCCAGTTTGTTTCAACATCTCCATCATCTTCGTCTGGAACACAGGATCCACCGCCTCAACACTGACACCGGTGCCACTTTGTGGCATGGCGAAAACATCTACCACCCGGACAGTATACTCATCAACGAATTCACCAAGCATGAGACCCATGACCTCCATAGGCACACCAGCACGACCATGTCGTAACATTTTCAGCAGGGCGAGGGATGAGATATGCACGGTTTCGGAATTATCGATGAGATTGGGAGTATCCTGCAGCAAATAGAGTCAGTGAGCGAAGCCAACAAAGAAAAAGACCTTGGTATACAGCTCGTGAGGGCAAGCTCGAGAGCTTGAAGAGTCGCCAGACACGAGGCAACATTGAAGCTATCATTCTATGCATGACTCGGTACTTACTCCACCAGGAGCACCCCCTCCCATTCCGAGGCCTTGAGCGGCCTGTAGCATACGATTGATGCGATCCATGATGGCTGGTTGCAACTAAGCTTGTTGTGAAGAGTGACGATTATGCGAGACAGCTCCCGAATACGTGGACGCGCCGATAGAACGTTTCAAATGTCCTCGCAGGATTTTGACTTCGAAAGGGGTGACAGATCTGGTACCCTGGAGATGATTCTGTAAACTGAGAACAATTAGAGTGAAAGACGAGGTGATTCGGAAGGCTCTCAATCGGAGCACGATTGTCGATATGAGCGGACCTCCGGAGCTCAACTGACGAAGGCGGTCTGGACTTCTGCCGGGGGGCGTTTGTCTTCCCACGCGGCGGTTGATTCTCTCAGGGCTTCCGTGTTTCCCTCCAACGCCGAATATGACTGTGCTAGCTGTCTACCTCTGCGTATCCAGCTAGCCTCGTTGCCTTACGATTGTTGCGCTCCTTGGTAGCCCGGGTTTTCTACCTGTCGGAGCCATTGGCTATAACAAGACCTCACTCCTCCCTCCTTCCCGTCTTCTTCGCACCGCTTTCCTGCACTTTCCGGTGTTGTGCACTGAGATATCTCAGCTTATCGACAGCTGCTGTCAGTCTCTCTGAGTCTCACCTCGTGTACGCAGCATGGCCGCCGAACCTGTTACCAATGGCTCGGGTGCCAATAATAAGAAAGTGGCCTACTTCTATGACTCTGATGTCGGCAACTATGCCTATGTTTCGGGTCACCCCATGAAGCCTCATCGCATTCGTATGACCCACAGCCTGGTCATGAACTATGGGCTGTACAAGAAAATGGAAATTTATGTACGGAGCTCCATTCATCCCAGCTCAGTAAGTGTGAAACATTGCAACTGATATGCATTCCAAACAGCGTGCGAAGCCGGCTTCGAAGTACGAGATGACCCAATTTCACACCGACGAGTATATCGACTTCCTCTCGAAGGTAACGCCAGACAACATGGACCAATTTTCAAAAGAACAAAGTCGCTATAACGTCGGGGACGATTGTCCAGTCTTTGATGGCTTGTTCGAATTCTGCGGTATTAGTGCTGGAGGCAGTATGGAAGGCGCCGCTCGCCTGAACCGCGGCAAGTGCGATGTAGCCGTCAACTGGGCAGGTGGTCTCCACCATGCAAAGAAAAGTGAAGCAAGCGGCTTCTGCTATGTCAATGGTATGTCTCATTTGCTTCATTTGCTGCCATACTGGTTTTCGCCCGAATCATAGCTAATTGTTTATAAATTCAGATATCGTCCTCGGCATTCTAGAATTGCTCCGGTTCAAGCAGCGAGTCCTCTATGTCGATATTGATGTCCATCACGGTGACGGTGTCGAAGAGGCTTTCTACACTACAGATCGGGTCATGACCGTGTCATTCCACAAATACGGCGAGTACTTCCCCGGCACTGGCGAGCTTCGTGATATCGGTGTAGGGTCAGGAAAGTACTACGCAGTGAATTTCCCTCTGCGTGATGGAATTAATGATGCCTCCTACAAGAGCATCTTTGAGCCTGTCATTAAGAGTGTCATGGAGTGGTATCGTCCGGAGGCTGTGGTGCTTCAGTGCGGTGGTGACAGTCTATCTGGGGACCGTCTCGGGTGCTTTAATCTGAGTATGCGGGGCCATGCCAACTGCGTCAACTTCATTAAAAGCTTCGATCTGCCGACACTCATTCTTGGCGGTGGTGGTTACACCATGAGGAACGTTGCGCGCACCTGGGCCTACGAGACGGGTATCCTCGTTGGAGACAACCTTACATCCGAGTTGCCTTACAACGACTACTATGAGGTGAGCGACTACTCAAACATAATCGGTTCATCATATGCAAGTTCTTACTTTAGACGATAGTACTTCGCCCCGGATTACGAGCTTGATGTCCGCCCGTCAAACATGGACAATGCCAACACCAAGGATTATCTGGACAAGATTCGCAATCAAGTTGTTGAAAACCTGAAGCGCACCGCATTCGCCCCATCTGTTCAGATGACTGATGTTCCTCGCAACCCAATTCTCGATGGAATGGATGACGAGGCCGATGACGTTCTTGATGACCTGGACGAGGACGAGAACAAGGACAAGCGCTTCACGCAGCGTCGGTTCGACCAGTACGTCGAGAAACCTGGCGAACTCAGCGAAAGCGAGGACGAGGAAGAAAATGCCGCGAATGGTGTTCGTCGCCAGCCTGGTGTAGTGCGTCGCCGAAACATCGCCAATTACAGAAACATCGATGCCGCCGATTCCGGACTCGACAGTGGAATGGCGACTCCATTGGATGCATCCTCAATTGCTGACAACGACATGGAAGGCGCCGCCGACACTAAAATGGCAGATCTCCCAGTCTCTGAGTCAGGACCCGCGGCTGTTGCCGATGCGGAGGATACGCCGATGGCAGAGTCTGAGCAATTGGCGGCGGACGCCGAGGATAAGGGCGACTCTGCGCTGGTCTCACAACAGCCTTCGCCTTCCGCCCGCGACGAAGACACGGCCATGGAAGATGTTGAGTCGGCCGTTGACGGTACTGGACTGGTAAAGCCCTCAGCTACCTCAGAGGAAACGAAGCCGGAGGCAACGCCTGTAGCCGAGGACTCGAACAAGACACCCGCTCCTTCTTCTCGGGCTCAGTCAGTAGTGAAGGAATCCACCCCACCTGCCGCAGAGGTTTCTGTCCCCACTGGCGACGCCGAGAAAACGGAGCCTGCATCAAGCGATACTCCCGCGGAACCGGCCAAGAAAGAGGAATGATTTCTCCGTGATACCAGGCTTTGGGATTCAATCACGGCGCAACGGGCAACTGGCAGAATGGTGTTTTTGGATTGGCGGCATGCACATCTTTTGATTTGGATTTTGAAGAGGTTGCCATATATACCTATCTCCCTTACATGAGTTCAAGCATGGCAATAATGTTTCTTTCAAGCCGCTTTTGCTCTGGTTCCCAGTCAAGTAGAGTCAACTCACCCCGAAGAGGCAGTGCTCGAAGAAGGCAAAGGTTAGGAAGCTGGAACAGATAGTACGTGTATGTGACGCATCAGCTTAGTCTGTCTGGTCAACTGGTGAGCTGACTGTCCATTTGGCCGATTGACGGATAATATAACATCATATTGCCGTGGAGGGTTCAAAAGTCTTTTCATCTAATGACTGGCTTTCTAGCTACAGCAGCATTCAGCCCTCACGACATAAGCGAAATACAATTGTGTGTTAAGTGCAGCCGCGTCTACTTCTATACATGCAGCAGGTGTGCGCGTGGAGGAACGGCACTCGGAGACTCCACCTGAATGTTAAAGACGAGCTTCTGGCCCGGGGCTCTGTATCAGGTGACTTCATAGATGGCTGTCCCGGCCTTGGCCATCGATGACCGAATTGCTCACCAAACCTCTACCGTAAGTGAGGCAGGACTGACAACAACTGCCAGAGCCTGGGAGTAACTTGCGAGGTGCCCAGGACGTGACATTGAAGATGGATCACATGAACTATGCAGGTGGGTCCGTCTGGGTGCCCCCTTCCCCAACTCGGCCTAGTGCTAGGGCAACCTCTTTGGACCAATGGACGGAGAGCCAAGATTTTCGACACCCACCACCGCACTAAGCGAGACAAGAAAGCACTGTGGACGTTGCTTTGATTTCTGGATTGATCTTTTGACGCCAACCCCTTTCGCCCTTCACGACAACACCGAAACTCAGCCATCATGTCTAAGAGAGGGTAAGTGCTACTGCCCTAAAATCGAATCGAAAGCGTCCACATTTGCCCCGAAAAGAGTCGTCGAGAACACACTGCGCAGCCCCTCAAGTTACGGAATCATTGAACATCGAAAGTCTCGGGCGGGAAGCGTGATTCTGGACGCCGACAAATCGACGAAGCAAAGTGGAGGACATGAGACAAGGAACAAGATGACTGACTCGAATTGAATTACAGTCGTGCCAGTGCCGCCGGCAACAAGCTGAAGATGACCCTCGGTCTGCCTGTGTACGTGCTACCTCAAAAGAAATTTCACGGCCATGTTCCTCGCCTAGTCAAATTGGATTGATTCTCTGCCGGTCGCCTGCTTCCTCAATCAATTCGATCTACATCTCCTCGATCTTCCGAACCAACCCGAGTGTCAACCTGCTTCGCAAAATCGAATCGCATCGAAGAGGCCCCTGCAGGAATCACCATTCGACATGGGGCGAGGACACATGAGTCGCAGAAATCGCTTTCTTCCCGAAATCACAGTCGCGAACTAAGAAACTAATGAATGTACGTCTTTGTCAACAGTGGCGCCGTGATGAACTGCTGCGACAACTCCGGTGCTCGCAACCTGTACATCATTGCCGTCTGCGGTATTGGTGCCCGCCTGAACCGTCTCCCCGCTGCTGGTGTCGGTGACATGGTCATGGCCACCGTCAAGAAGGGAAAGCCCGAGCTCCGCAAGAAGGTCATGCCCGCCGTTGTCGTCCGCCAGAGCAAGCCCTGGCGCCGGGCTGACGGTATCTACCTGTACTTCGAGGACAACGCTGGTGTTGTAAGTGGCCAATTCCGGTTCCTGTTCACCAGTCTCAGAGCGTGCGCAAGTGGAAGAAGCCAAAGATCGCTGCCCAGCGCGACCGCAATTGATCGTTGCGCATACTCATATGCTTGAGTTCCTCTTCCGCCACCTGCGCCGTTCTCTGACATTTGACGTACCGCATTTCAATACTAATCGATGACCTCTACAGATCGTCAACGCCAAGGGTGAGATGAAGGGATCTGCCATCACCGGTCCCGTCGGTAAGGAGGCTGCTGAGCTCTGGCCCCGTATTGCCTCCAACTCCGGTGTCGTCATGTAAAGAGAGCAGTGAAAGACCGAATAAAACAACAAAATTTTTTCAACGATACCAAAACCTGACTCTTTGGGACCCGGGAATGACGGAGTGCATTGATGGCAATTATTGTGGAGAGGAACGAACTCCATTTGGCAAGAGGAGGAGTATGGGACATGTCCTTTTTCTTGAGATGAATACTCGACCCTCATCATTTCGAGCCGGTTTTTGTCCTCCCATTCGCGTTTTTTTATCTCTTTGAACACTGGCGACTCTGAGGAGTAGACTCGAAAAATACTACCTTTTCATGACCAATTCGTTCTGCCTCGGCATTCACGCATGTTCACGTGTGATGGCGCCCTCGTAGTTGTATCCTATCAATGTAATGCTTCAGACTGTAGTACGCATGATGCCAGGACCAGACGCAGCGCCTTACCTGCGTCATACTTTCGACGGCCATGGCACTCGAAAAGCATGAAACTCGGAGCGCTCGGCCATTAGACGACGTGACGCTCGAATCTCTAGCCCTTCGGCTCGCCTCGACTTGACAATCGAGCGACTTCGGATGATCACGAAGGATGCCCCTACGCTGGTTGCCCCTACGCTAACTACGTCATGATGTCTCTTGTGTTCTGGAACAATTACTACATCTTTGCACCGTATGGATCTCTTGCTCCGGGGGGGGGGGGGGGGGGGGGGGGGGAAATATCGAATTCGCCAGTATAATACAAAGCCTCAACCCTGAGAAAGCATTCTTTCCCCGGCTTATACATATATCCATTCGCTTTCAATCCAGCTACCCAATGAATCTGTTCATCGTCCGCCCCCGCGAGGTTTTCTCGTCGTGTTTCTCGCTATGATATTGCGGCACCTCTGATTTTATCGGAGTCATGACAGCCAATCCACCGTTCCCCTGCACCTGCGTGATGATCACAAGGAGCCCAACGATCAAAGTCACCAAGATCAGTACATGCACCGCCCACCAGAAATGCTGGACTCCCGCTGGGCACATGGAAATTTCATACTTCCACTCGCCGGCGTTGGTGTCAAACCAGGCCGACAAAAGTCCGGCATTTCCCCCGAATTCCCCCATCATAGCACGCATCGTTACTTCGCGAATCGAGGGGCTGGTCGGCTTTTCGGGCCTGTACCTGTTGTATCGCTTGGCAGACCACTGCCAGTTGGGAGGGGATGATGCGTCGGACGGCGCGTCTGCCGCACTGTTGGCTGCTGCGGCGGTGGTTCGGTTGACGTAGTGGATGACATCGCAGCCGGTGTGGTCATGGCCTGTAAGGATGAGTCCGTTCCGGCCATAGCCACCATAAGCTGCGGCTTGATCACCGCTTAATCCGAAGATCCCCTGTAAGATTCCAATGGCGCTGATATGATCGCTGAGATGGTTCTGTTCCCTGAGGCCGCCCGCCTTCCAGCGTGGTACGTCCTCCGGTCCTTTACTGTCGTCCTCGTCGTGGAAGGTGAACAGTGGCCCGTCCGTGCAGATTCCCTCCTGCTTGTGCATTGGCAAGTGAGTCAGAAGCAAGGTGAAGGTCGACCGGTCCTCTACCGGGTACGAGCGATGACTGATAAGATCGTTCAGGTATGAATAGCTACGAGACTGCAGGTCCTGCGACAAAGCAGGCGTGTCGAAGAGTAGCGTGTTCAAGTTGATCAAATGCAATGTCGGCGTCACAACCGACCCGTCCGGTCCATTCACAGACGGGTGCTGGAACCGAATGTCCCAGTCGGCGCGGCCGAATTCGCGCTCAAAGCGCTCAATCCGCGCCTCGCTTGCATCGCCCGCGTACCCGATATCGTGATTCCCAGCCACGTTGATGATACGTCGTGGCCAGGCTGGGTCGGCTCCTGGGCCTAGGGGCTCAAGATCCGGATGAGCATCCTGACGTCGGTCACCGTCCTTCGTACCAGCCAGAGTGATGCGATCTTCCACCCGTTGGGCCCCGCGAAATACACGCTCCCAGTACCGTTTACTGCGCCGTGTGAACTCATCATCATCGATCCACTGACTCCCAAGAAGATCGCCCAGCACCGTGGTATGGGTGGGTCGAGTCCACCAGAAGAGCGTGCGGTATATATGCGCGAGATAGTAGTCGTTGCCGACGAGGTCAACCTGTTTCATAGTTGCGCGGAAGGACCTTAGTACATCTTCCGTCAGGAACGTCTTGATGCTCGTCGTGATATTATTCAGAACATTCGCATCGGTGGGGATCTGGTGGATCGGCCTCGTCGACGAGGCTTCGGAGATTGCATCCCTGGTTGCACGCCAGTGGGTGCGCAGGCGCGGCAATAGCTTCCATTCGGGGAGTGGTAATGAAGAGTCGCCTTCTAGCTGTGGATCGGCGAGAACCAGAAGTCGGAAAATGGCAGGTTGATGATCCACGACTGCGTTCGATGCGCGGACATGTTGGAGAAAGGTGTTGACAGCGACTTTCCGCTGCAAGGTATTCAAGATTGTCGAGTCGCTGGAATTGCTGAGATCAGTGCCGTGGGGAAGTGGAAAGCCACAGCCATTGATTAAGGGATATAAGTAAAGATAGAGTGAGACCGTGAGGGTGACGGGGAAAAGGAGCGTAAACACGCGGCTCAACAGCGCGCGGAGACTCATGAGGAGCCACGGGATCGGGAGACGGGGTTGGAAAAGAATACCGTATTATAAAGGAGTGATATACAGCATTATTAGTATCACGCCGAGAAAGCGCTACGTGCGGGCTAACAAGCAAAAAGAAAGAAAGTGAAGAAGAATGTGTAAGTCCCGTAGCGCACTTTCAGGATCAATCCCGAGGAGGGGATAAGATAACCCAATTTGAACTTTGGCGGGTGGAAATTCCCAATTTTCAAAAAAGGCCCGTTCCGCATTTCTTGGCGCTGGGACTCGAAGTTTAGCGCGTACAACACCAGGCATCGTAAGTTGCTCTCTCTATAGACATGAGGAGGGAATTCGAGGTTTCATTGAGTTTGAAGAATAAGCATTTCTTGTGATTTCTTGTGAGAATGGCCTGATCCGCTTCATCTTTCACGGGCTTACCTACCTCTGAAAGTCTGTGATGAAATCTCGTGGTCAGGCGAATCTAAGTCGGGTGGGCAGGGATATATTTATGAATCAATTCGCGCACGGCGATGCCCACCAGGCCCCATCCCGCCATCCTCCGTACTTTCCTCGGGCAAAGACATGGATACCTGGTGCTAGTACTTAGTGAAGTTGCTCGAATTGAAAGTACAACCTTATTTGAGACTCTTTCAATGGAAGTAGAACGGGCCAAATCCATGGTACGTATGTAGATATATAGCTCATGGAGATACGCAGCCGACGAGGTCAGTTAGGTGATCCACCGAATTTTGTCTCTAAGATCCCCCACATCTGGAAGTTCACGGCTAGGGCCAGATCAAACCCAGGCTTCAAAGCACTAGAGCACTGGATTCGCGTATCATCTCGATGTGCACGTATTTTGAAAAAGATCCAAATAGGCACAGTGACCATTGCAATGAAGTAAAAAATATTCTCTCTCATTACGACCATCTCCATTGGTTGGAAGTCGATGGAGAAATTCAGACACAAAGGACGGACACATTTGAGAAATGTCTCCAAGATAAGTAAAATGGTCAAAAAAATTAGAGAATATATCATTAGAGTATCAAAGCTCACCCAGGGACACAGAAGTAAAAAAGGGGCAATAAAAGTCGGAGATCGAAGGGGGTATATCACATCAAACGCCATCAGAACTAGGGGTGTATAAGAAAGGAAAGCTGCACGGTCAAGAACAGCAGCAAAAGTGACGAGGAATCGTATAGAAACGAGAGGAGACAATTGCACAGCGAAGGGGAACCCCACAGAAGAAATGGACGAGAAGTGGCAAATCAGATTTGAGGGAAAAAAATGAAATGAAAGGAATTGGATGAGAGAAAGAATTTGAGAACATATGGACAAGTTTCTTTTGAAACAACAACCTTGGACGTGAGAACAGCCATACGGCAGTCAAGAATATAATCAAAGAATCTCAGCTTTGCTTGGCATCACTTTGGACCAATGCATCTGGTAGAAGGGGCGAAGTGCCGATGTGAATCTCGCCCAGCGGATTAGAAGCCGAAGAAGCTGAAGGCGTCGGCTGATCGGCCGAGTTCCCATCAGCCTCGTTATTGTGAGGGGTGTCACTTCCCCCGGCAGTCACCTTATTCAGATTGAGACCATTGATCCGAAGCCCCTGGTCCTCATCAGCATGCTCGGGTACCTGACTTGATTGCCCTGCGTCTGCAGGCAGATTCATCAGGGCTGGTGGGCGCGCTTGCATCATGCGCGCTTGCTTGAGACTGATGGTCTTCTGCTTGTTGCTGGTTTCCACTTTGCCGGATAGATCACGCTCAATGGTGGCCTTCATGAGTGCTGCCATCCACAAGCGGCCCTCCTGCACTGTGTCAACCTGGAAGTAATGGGTGGTCGGTTTGGTGAATTGCACGGTGCGCGCATTGCCTGACTTGGGAGGCACGAGTTTGAAGAAGAAAGGCCCGCTGCTGTCCTTGCCAGAAAGTGCGGGATTCAGTCCCTTCGCTTTCGCCCCCGGATCGAGTGCGTTAGCATTGGCGGGCATGGCTGTCGAGCCAGTAACAGTGGCATGCAACGCGATGATCGGATCGTTGTCAGCACGGAGTACGCGATGGGCAGTGATGTCGATCAAGCCCCGCTCTTCTGTGTCTTTTTCGGAATAGTAGTAAGAGAGACGGCGACCTCGCAAAACGAACAGTCGAGGCTTCCACGTCGCCATCAGGTTTGAAGAGCGTTTCTTCATCCATCCGCTATAATCACAGCCAGCCACTTGCTCTTGTGGAGACTTCTTCTCTAGGCCACGGGTGTAGGCGCTCGTCTCCTTCTTGGTCTTAGCCACCCGCGGTCGAGCAACAGACCCAGCGCCCTCCGCAGCCTTGCCAGATTCATCAGTACTGTGGCGCTCGGAGCTCTTGGATGTGCCAGACGGTGTAGTGGACCCCGTGCGACCCGACATCGGATCATAGTCGCGAGGCGAGACAGGTGCCGAATTGTCGCTGCCTCCTTTACCGATAACTTCAGAGATTGTACGAGTGCCGGCCGTTCGTACTGACGCAGGCTCGGCGTTGCCGACCCTGGCTGATTGAGAAGTTGCAGTTGAAGCGCGAACAGAACTGTCGTTTGTGTTGTCACCAGTGACACCACTGACTGCGCTCTTGTTGTCACCCTTCGATTCGTTCTTGTTCCGGATCAACGGTCCGAAGCTTGCAAAGAATCCAGGTTTTGACTCCCGAGTCGAAGACTGCGAATCATTGCCACTGCGTGACGACAGTCGGGTACTCATACTCCTGAAACGGCTTTTCGGGGGTGTTCCATGGTAGGACGGAGCTGAAGGAGATGACCGAGAAGCGACGTCACGAATGGAGTCGACACTGTTCACTCGCGATCGGCGCTTGGCTGCGTTGACTCGGTTTGACTCATCGACAAGGCTCGATTTTCGGGAATGGGTAATACTGCCGCCATTAGATGTTCGCTTTTGTAGACGTCGAGACCGTCGCGAGTCCACTTCAGTGCCTGAAAAGTATCCCCTTTCGAGTTCGTCTAGACGCGCGGTCGCGTCTGGTCCTGCTTCTAACGCTTGTGGTCCGCGGTAACCTGGGCCCGTCGCAGCAGCTGTTCCTGGGCGAGTAGGCAGCGGTTGAGGGGCGCCATTGTTAAGAGTCCATGTTCGATCAAAGGAAGGCTGCTTTTGATGGCCATTATTCGAATGGAACTCGGACATGGCACGGTTCGTTGCGTCGATGGATGAGTGACGGCGATTATAATCTCGAATCGACGCAGCAGAGACCCGCCTTGGGGATTCGCTGGAGAACTGCGTGAATTGAGGAGAGGTCGTAGTCAATGGAGAGTTGCCGTTACCAGCCAAGCGAGGAAAGTGGCCCGGCATGGTAGCGATTCGTGGCACGTATCCAGGGCCAGATCGCTCTGAAAGCGTGGGTATCCGAGGCAAAAAGGAGTTCGTTTGACCAGCACGCGACAGCGAACGCTCCTCTGGCCGAGCGGCCCCAACGGAGCCTGCGTGACTGGAGATGGAGCCGCGTGTCGACTCACTCTGTGGAGTAGAAATGCCTTTGACCTCCTCTTGAAATGCTTTGATTTTGTGCCATGTTTTGAGACGTTTGCCCATCACTCCAAGGTCAAAGTGTTTCATGAAGATAGTGTCTTGGTCCATTTCCAGAAGCACATCGCCGGTGATCTCTTCCCTTTCGAAGATTTCACAATGACTGTGATCGACATCGAGTTCCCGAAGATGTTTGGCAGTTTCCGAGGGATTCCAACGGCGAACTTCTTCTGGGGTGAGTCGCGTATTCTCTTCCTCGTCGGTTTCATTTCCGTTGATGTAGGACATGCGATGGCTGAGATGGCTGCTATATTCACTTGCGGAATCGTTGGCTGTCCGCACATCCTGTGTTGACACGCTGTGGCGCGGGGTGTTCATGTCGGTGATATGCTCGTCAATGACGCTCAGCGTTTCATTCATGACCGGACTATCGTCGCCAGTGGCATGGCTATCAATTGACCGGCGAAAGGCCTCCTGAATGTTCGCCGCCAGACTTCCGGGCCTCTGTACGGGAGAAGAGACAGAGCGCTGTTGTTGAAGATACTCTTGAGGAGAGCTCGTCATCTCCGCGGCAGTTCCTGGTCGCGACGCCTGAGGGGTGGACTGCTCGCTGCTGATAGCACTAAAAGAAGTATTGACAGGAGTGGACGGCTCCTGATCAGTCACATCGAGGCTGTCAGGTGCGGTCGCATGCGATTCCAGGTCGGTCTGAATGTGTTCGAGAGAGCTGGGAAGTCGATAACTCGTGGGAATCTGGCGCGGTTGCGCTTTTCGGGTGAAGCCTGTATCAAAACAACCGTGTGAGCTCTCGGGATTTCTCTGTCCTCCTTGATCTGTCCAGTCTTTGCCGGGTGCTTGAGTGTTCGCAAGTTCCGAATGGGCTCGCGACCGATGCGCATACCTGCAGGGAAAAGACCCTTTTGACCAGTTCCGGGATGCTCGCCCAGCCACCATCCGTCCTGGAACTCCTCGTCCATTTCCTCTAGCAAGATGACATCGCCACGCTTCATGCGCAATTCGTCGTCCCCGCGCGGGGTATGTTCATCTGTAAGACGTTAGACTCCGAGTGTTCCGACCTTCTCCCGAGATCAGCGACCCCGGAGCGGGAGACATTTGGCGCGAGGGCGCATGCATCCCGCTCGCGCAGTGTACGGTGGCAAAGACCTACGGAGGACCAAAAGATAATCGCCGCGCTGGACATTCAAAGGCGGCGCCGGGGTCGCAGGGGCGTTGGCGGCCATTCTGGACAGACGATTGCACGAATTGGAGCGATTGCAGTCGTTCGCGGACAGCTGCCGAGGCCGAGAGAGCGGGTCGGTCGCGATGCTCAAGTCAATCGCAGCACATGAGCGGAGAAGAGCCGAGGGGGACGAGGGATTGATTTGGCGCAGCCCTTTGGGAAGAAGAGGATGGTAGACGGTGGAAGTTCAGCAGTTCGATTCCCGGGTGCGAAGCACTCTGTTAAGTGTGTTTTGACCGAGACGGCTATAGAGGCACCGGCCGTCCGGGAGGGGAAGGGGGGAGAGAATGCAGCAGGGCACACAAGGAATCCAGCGCCTGAACAGACGAGAGCGAGATCCGGGCTCTCTGGTCCTTTTGGTCCTTTTGGTCTTTTGGTCGTTTGGGTCCTTTCTGGTGCTTTAGGTCCCTGAGCTCGCGGGGGGGAGGGGGAGTCTTGGAAGAAGCTAAACCAGAAATGTGGACCGGAAGCTTCGTTCTCCCGCCTGCAGAGATTCGCTGCAAAGGATGTGATGTGCCTCTTGGGAAATTGCACTCTACCCGGTGGCGCGGACGCAATAGCCTGGGAGGGCACTCGGTCAACAGGAAAAGGGAAGGGAGGTCTCCAAGCTCAAATGCGACGAATCTGGATGTCAGCGACCAGTGCGCTTCAGAGGAATCGAGGGAAAGTTTCTGCTGCACAGGCGTGGGTCGGAACGCCTTGAAAAGTGGCCGATGAAGAAGAGATTGGAAATGAGAAGGTGCAGGAAGCTGGGCGTCGACCAAATGCTGTCGACGTAGATTCCGTAAAGGGACCTGCGAATACAGGGAACTGCCAGCCGATTAGACAGGTACCCTTGTACCAGTTCGTAGTCAGTACTAACTTACCAAGTAGTAGTATCACGGTCACTCAATCCCTGCGATGATGTACCGCGTCGTCGTACTGATGAATTTGCTGTCCGTCTAAATTCCGATTTATCCGCCATCTTCTCTACTACTTATTACTTACTGTGTAGTGTATGATGTATAGTATACCAGTATACACTCTGGTCAATCTTCCTCATGTGCCCTCCAACTTGGCAATGTGTTCTAGATCGCTGTCGCTGTGACTTCCATCTCCTCCTCTCGACCAGAACCGAAACAGGACCTTAGTGACGTGTGCGGCCTTCCAAACCGAAAGAGGATGTGTTCTGGATGCAAATCCACAGTTGCACGGGTCGGTGGGCCCAGCCGGGTGCGAACTAGTGACTGAAATGGATCAGCACTGGCTGGGCAAGTTAAGTTACTGGATGACCCAGCAGCGGGCAAACATTTCGGAGAAGAGTGAGAATTGTCAGAACCCACGAGTGTTGCAAGAATGCAATTAAGTATTCAGAACACGAAACTGACAGGGAGTGCTTAGGTAAGCTTGAGTGCCGGGTCTGCGATTCCATGTACGAACTCTCTACAGGTAGTGAATCAGGTAGACTCCAGATTTCATTACCCGCCGTGGGAGATGCGAGGTCAATTCAGCGTGTCCAGCGTACTGAGGCGAGCATCGCACCTCCATACTGCCATGTTCACCTAGGAGGCTAGAACCCTGCCGTCTCCATTACACCGGAAGAAGTGGAATGTTGGCATGTCAGTATCGACCACCGAGTACCACCGAAGACAGTGGAGACTGGAATTGAATTGTTGACTGGGACAAGAGTAGAATGTTCGGAAGTAAACCCATGCGCACGGATCTAGAAGAGCTCGACAACTGACAAGCGACACATACTGTAGTCATGTACTCCCGTAGGAAGTGTAGGTAGCCAGTAAATTACACTCGGGCCAAATGAGTACGGTAACCTCATCTCCCAGGAAGTCTGATGCTATCTCCATTGCTCTACCCGAGCTGACTCGACCTCTCTGCTGGGTGTAGATAGGATACTATACCCATACTGGATGTCAATTGGCAAAAGACCGATAAGATACTCATCAATACCTGTTTTAGTCGGGCTATTACTCAACTTGTACCCTAGACTTATGTAGAGACATTGAGTTGACTTGGAGGATTGACGTGGACGAGATTGACCATGGCATCAATTTTGACCCAGCGCAAAAAAAAAAAAAAAAAAAAAAAAAAAAAAACAAACAAACATTGCAGATTGGTTGCTCGTCCTTGATGTTCCCAGAAGCCACCTAATACCACCTTGAGCCTGCCTTAGACCTGAGTCGTGGCACAAGCCGCAGATGAGTTTGAGCAAGACGCTCGATTCCAGTTGTTCAGAACTGTCGACTCATTGCATAGAACAACAGAGCGTTCTGCAGTAAGTTCCGGAGTACAGTGGTATGTGTCTCAGTCGAATACTTCCGACCCACCTGGTGACAGGGAGCTATCGAGGCGCTGCATTGGCAGAGCATCGGTAGGTAGGGCAGGAGAGACGAAAATGCGTCATCTTGCTGCGCCAGAAGGCAAGGACTCTACTTGACCCCCTGCGACGTGTGATCTCTTGCCTGTGGGAGCCAGTGATGGCAATGCCACCGAGTTGTCGAGTCGGAACATTCGGTCAGCAAGCGCCGGTCCGAGCTTTGAAGACTAGACGGTCCGTATGTCGATCAATCGGTGGCTTGTTGAATAAGTGAGACCAGAGCCTCACACGTGCGAGCGAAGAGCGATCCGACTTTGATGGCACGTATCGCTGTTGATTGAATGGTCGTAATACTCCCGGCATCCTTTGCCTTCTGCCTCAGGCATTCTTGAACGGGCCTCTTTCAGCCTCGGACGAGCGGTGTTAGGTTCATCTCAATGGGATAACCCCGTAACTATTGACCCTTGTTGTACAAGCCAATCGTGTGATCTGAATGCATGCCAAGGGACGGTCGCAACGTGTGTTTTACGTTCAACGTGGTTGACAGTCTTGAAGTCACTGCGCAGGTTCCCAGTCGACATTTGACGGACCTAGTTGCTTTTCCCTCCTGGTATGATAGATCATCTGACGGGCCAAGGTTCAAGCCTGATCTGGTGCTCCAGCTGGTGGGAAGTATGGGGCTGGAAGCTGGGTGAGAGCCAGCAGCAGCACATTCGATCAGGATCTGCCCGCTTGCACATTGTACAAACTACAAACAGTGACAGCGGCAACGGTGCTCACAGGCAAACCAGCAGACCACATCATTGGCAGATGTATCCAGTCCATATTCATAACAGACATTTCAAACGACAATACGCCTGTTGCTTGCCTTTTGAGCGGACTGGCCACTGGAACAGACGGGGTTGGTCATCCATCGCCAGGGATCTCAAGAGTCCTTTGTTCGCCGCCTGATGCGACTGAATCGGTTTGGCGCCCTGGGGGAGAGGGGAGCCATTCTTCGTCCTTCTGTCTCTGTTCTGTTTCCTCCCGACGACACTTGATCCTAAGATGATTCAGTGTCCATCACGATGTCGCCCGGCATTCCTCGGTCGCAACGTCCTGCTCACTGTCTTGAAGAATCCAACTCCACCGCGAGCCTATTCCTAGGCGGCGTGCGGAGGGATTGGATGGCCTCAGTGGGGGAGACATCATATCCACCGCGCGAACCACCAGCGGCCAAGCGCCCTTCAAAAGCGACAACTTCTCATCATGGGCCAGACCCTTCAAAACTCCCGCAAGAAGGTCGTCGACTGGCTTCTGGAGAGATGGCCTTGCGGTCACCTGTGACGCCAGGAACCGATTTGTCAACTACAACCGGCTCTCCACGTCCGCTCTCATTGAGCACTGCCAGCAAACAACTCGCGACCTCGACAGCAATCGCGCTGCCTTCGCCAGTGCCTAGTCCTGGACCTCATCCAACCCCGAATCGGCCTCCACATTCACCTCCGCCGCCGCCGCCGCATTCTCCATCCCACGAAAAACCTGACACAGTCATCTCTCCACCCGTGTCAGTGACCGATCGGGCACCACCGGTGACAGTAAACGCACCCTGGGCAACGTCGGTGAAACCCACGCTCCCACGCGATAAAGAGACGAGTGTCAATCGAACAGTCTCGCAACAACCCACTCAGTCGCAAGCTCAGGTGCAAGTCTCCTCGCGACTCTCTCCGGAACAGACGGCGGAGACAGAGGCACCAGAAGCGAGAGCCCGATCGGATTTGGTTCGGGTCAGTCACAGCCTTCATCCACAGCAGATAGGTCAGCCAGCCGATGGCCAGGCTATAAATGTTCCATCGCCGCAGAATTCACACAACCGCCCATCCGCGACACCACCGTCGTCAGTAGCAAGCCATGAGAACAGGCCGACAATACAACAGACCGTCCCCCACAGGCCTTGCCAGTCCTCAACCACGACAATGTTTACAGAACAGGACTGGGCTCTATGGGCTGAAAGAGCGCACCAGTTGATGAAGGCGGCTGCGTCCTGCTCGTCGAATATCGGAAGTCCCCGAGCTTTACTCCTCGTGAAAGCCTGTAAAAAGCACGATCTTTTCTACCTTGTGCTTCATCAGTTATTCTGTGAAGCCTACCGGGACCCACTGAATTTCTGGTCCAGGTTCCCCAGCCTCAACAATGAAGGATCCATATCTGGGTTCCGCAGACTGGCGGAGTTGCTTGCGCACAACTCTTCGTTACCCATCACACTGATGGATGCCTTTAGCGCTTATCCTCTCAACATTGCTGAAATGGTTCGATCGCCGTGGTTTCCTGCCATCTTTCAAGAGATTCAGGCTTGTCTTTCGAAGTTAGGGACTCAAGCCTCAAGCGAATGGACTCGCCATCTTTATCGACGCGGATATCCTCCACTTGTCACGGAATTAAGACAACAGTATTGTACAGGTTCTCCAACCTTGCTGAACGTGATCTTCACATCTATGTGTCGGTGTCTATACGAGTCAAAACATATAGATTACCTGGAGCGCGTATTTAACAAAAATCAGTCTCTTGTTGATTGCAATGCCCCTGAAAGAATTATTCAAGCATTAACCCAGAACTATCGCATGGTTCCCATGAAGTTGTCGCTATTTCCTGAATCGACGGGGCCTCACACGTCAAACAATCAGATCCAGAGTCCCGTTCAGCAGTACCAGAATGGAGTAACAGCAGGAGGACCAGAGTCGATCCCACAGCCCGACACCTCGAGTCCCTCGACTGCTTCGGGACCCGCTCTGCGGCCAAATGCCCATCAAGTGCCCGCCAACCCTTCGACGCCCGTTCAAATCCCCAGCGCTCATCCCGCACTTCAGAACCTGCCATCATCCCCTCAGATCTGGGACGGGTCAGCTCAAGTAATCTCTCCACAGGGGTCGTGGCAGGCTATGCCACCAAGTCACGCTCAGTTTCACGTTCAATCGCCTTTGGCGTCGCCCGTGATTCCGGGCCAAGGACAGGTGACAAACGTCCACAGGGGACCGATCCACAGAATACGCACAGCAGCGGCGTCTCATGCAGCAGGCCAAGTGCCAGCAAATTGCCTCACTCCCCAATCGTCACCATCACTCCCCCCAAACGCTCAGGCTCTGCCCCCTTGGATGGATCATACCGCCCAATCTCAACCGCCGCACCCTACTCAGAATCCACAAGCATCACGGCCGCTGCAACCTCGCCCACGGCAGGCTCATCCTGGGCAGGCTCATTTCAACGACTGGGTAGGACATGGCAACGCCACACTTCGACCGACTACAAACATCAATACCGCCCGACTCGTAGCGATGAATCAATCAGCTCACTCGAGTAATCGACACCCCTCATCCATGCGGCCTGTTCCCGTCTCGTCGTCAGGAATACAGACATCTCAAGCCCGACCTGGTCAATTTCGAGGGGCACCCGTCATATCACCTCTGCTGCCTCCCGAGGGATACAGAGCTCCTTTGACAGTACGGCCCCAGCCCATGCGGCTAAGTCTTCACCAAGCTGATCTTCGCGACCCCGTGAAACAGCTCGTCAAGAACACGCCGGAGGGCATAAAGGAGATTCCCCTGTACCAGTATCTTCGGGATTTCATGGTGAAACCAACAAAGGTTGGCCCTGAGATGTTCCACTGTCGATGGAAATTTTCTCTCTCCGTGAGTGACCACCAGCGGATCTCCCGTGTCATGAAAACAGACAACGGGCAACGATCCACGCAAGTCTGTCAGTCGGAGAACCTCATTTATCGCCTGCGGATCATATCAGTGCCCAACTCGTCAACAGAGAACGTCGAGACGACCTGGTCCACAGTAAGCACTACTTGGCCTAGTGTGTTGTACATCTTCGTCAATCAAGAGGAGATGCACGTGCGGCGGAAAGTGCACAATGGCAAAGACCTCCCCTTGGACATCAGTAGTCATCTTGTTGCAGGCGAGAATGAGATCAACATGCATTTCCTCCTAGGCCCAGGAGAGTGCAAATACATGCACTACGAGGCGGCCGTCGAGATCATGGAACTTCGCGAGCATGACGGTATTCTTGGCCAAACCCGTCATTGGGCGGCAAGCGCAACCCGTGCTGCCATCAACAAACGTCTGACTCCAAGTACCGATGACGACGAGCTGGCGGTCGTGACTGACAGTCTGACGATTCCTCTGATTGATCCGTTCATGGCCCAGGTGTTCAAGATTCCTGCGCGCTCTGTGAATTGCACTCACATCGAATGCTTCGACCTGGAGACTTTCGTCACCACTCGCAAGTCCATATCCGGTACCCAACCACTGAATGACAACTGGCTTTGTCCAGTGTGCAAAGCTGATGCGCGTCCTCAAATGCTCATAATTGACGGATACTTCGTCGAGATTCGAGACGCGTTGGAAAAATCCGGCAAATTAGCACACGCCCAATCGATTCAGGTCCGAGCTGATGGGACATGGACAGTCAAAACCGTCAATGATGACGCCATATCCTCAAGCCCTCCTCCAAACAAACGGCTGTCCCAATCTGCATCCTCGACGAAGCGCAAAGCTGATGAGATGGCAGGCAAGCAAGACCAGGGCCCTCGCTCTAAACAAAATACCCCGATCACCGGCGCGACCCACAGCGCGGACATCATTGAGATCGATTGATATTGCGTCTCTCTCATCATTTATGCCCGACTTTCTATGCCGATTCAATCAGCATCTTGTTGTTGCTAGCGATGGGAGTTCTGCGTTTGAGATCCTGAATTACTTTTACGTCCTTTATTCCAAGATTGTCGGTTTAGGCCCTGTCTCGCATATCTCTATACCCCCTTTCTTGTTTACGTCTTACTCGTTTCCCTCTTTCAAAATCACTGGTCTCAATCTTGGCGTTCAGGCTGATAGCATGGACCAGGCGAACTCCGGGCCTGCAACTATTAAAGTCTGCGACTTCACAGTAGCCCTCTCGTTCCTCTCGGTTCGCCCAAGCTTGCCTCGCTCAATCAATTGCGAAGATTTCTGATTTCTTTACCCCCGACAGGTCGTGAATCTTTCAGCGTTGTAGCAGACCTAGCACGTGATTTAAAGGCGTATACGAATTGGAGACCCGTGATGTGAATCGAGTGAAATGACTTAGAGACTCCTGAATATGCTTCTTCAATGGAAGTGAAGCAATCCGCTTAAGCTTCCAACATTATATTATACAGATGACGTAGCTATATGTACCACTCTCGCCCATGCTGCTGCTCAGCAGAGAGGATATCAAACCTCGTTAGGGGCCCAGAAGTCTTATTTCCTAGCTCGCCGGACGTGGCTGACAAGATTCTCAATGACTCCTTCAAATGCCTCCTTTTCGCTAATCAGCCCATCCCGGCGCTTCAGCCAAAATTCCAGGACGGAACTAGCGCGGAGAGTGATCTGCTCGAGCTCAGAGACATGCTGTGATAATTCGCCATCCGTTAACCCATCAAGGGCAGCGTCCGTCGTCGTGCACAGCCGCCGAACGGACGAGAGGTCTAATTGAGGGGGTGGGGTGGCGCCCCGGCGAGCGTTTTTGGCGCGAGCAGGGGCCTGCCCTGATGTGGGTGTTTCGTCACCTTCTTTGCGTGGCTGAGGTTGGGATTGGTCGTTGTTGTTCCCAGAACTGTCAATGTCGATAGATGGGAGGATGAGTTTCTTTTGCTTCGATGCTGGAAGGATTTCGTCCAGATCGACGGGTACGCCCAGTGAGACTAAGAAAAGTCGGCGAATGCGTGATTTCACCCAATTTTGAGGCTGGAGAGGTGGTGGTGCAACGAGCTGCGACCATAATGAAAGGCTACGCTCAGTGCTGAAGATAGCCGAGGAGTCTGGGATCGGCTCGACAGGCGGGAGAGAGTGCAGGTCTTTGACTGCGGGGAAAATGTCGTCGAGCGTGTCTGATAAGGCTGTAAGAAGTTCAGACGTCGATGAGAAGTCGTTAAAGTCGATCAGAGGAGGCTGGGGAGCACGTTGTCAGAAGATGATTCACATGTCGGGTCTTTGCTGGCAGAAACTTACAACAGATATAGATGCCGGAGGCTGTTGAGAAAATGTGGTACTGGTATCGGCGACATGCTCAACAACCTCAGGCTCCTGAAAATCATCATCGAAATCGTCGAAATCTCCAAAATCATCGTTGTCGTTCATCCCACCCGGTTCATCCACGAATTCGTCGAAATCGTCGCCAAAGTCATCATCAGCTTTTGTGTCCACTGGTTCATGGTCTGCTTCTGAGGCAGCGGGCAAGGCCTCGTCAACGACAGTGTCCACCGTGTCGGGTAATGCATCGCTGGATGAGCTTTGATGCGCACGAGCTTCAGTGTGCGATTGATCTTCGGCTGGTATCGTGTCAACTCTGGTGAGCCGCGTCTCGGGAACGGGTTGACTCTCGGCGTTCAACGCATTTGCTTCTTCGGTGGCCGTCGGCGTCGCACCCGTACTCTCCGTATTTGACGCAACCTTGGCGACTATGTCCGGCACTGCGTCTGCCCGGCGCTTTTCATAGGCTTCTGTACCTGGTATCTCTCCGTGACTCGGTTCATCCGGCTCTACCTTTTCGACAACAGTCCGAGGGGTCGGTGAGCCGCCGGGAGTCAAGGGTCGGTCAGGCGACTTCGCAGGAGAAGGACTCCTGCTTGTAATGCTGTCTGGAACGATTTCAATCTCGTCGGGAACTGCGTCTTGTGTTCGCTTTTCGTATGCTTCTGTGCCAGGTACCTCGCCGTGTTGAACACTATCATCGACTCGCTCAACTCGAGTTAACGGGATCGGTGAGGTACGCCCAGACTGCGGCGATACCGTCTGTAAATTTGACTGCTCCTCGCTTGGGTCTGAGGAAACCAACCGAACCTCGTCGGGTACTGCGTCTTGTGTTCGTTTTTCGTATGCCTGTGTGCCGGGCAATTCACCGTGATAAGCTTGGTCGTCAACTCGCTCAACCCGGGTGACTGGAATAGGAGAAGCGCGCCCCGATTGTGGCGATTCCGTCTGTAGATCTGGCTGTCCCTCGCTGGCGTCTGAGAAATGTTCCTCGTCGCTGTCGGAAGCTGAGCTAGCTGTCGAACGTGTCAATCCTTTGTCCTGGTCGTGCCATAGTGACCCAAGGGGATCGCCTACTGTTGTGCCCAGCTCCAGGGTCCTCCTTCTCCACGGTTCGACTTGGAGGTTCAAGATGGGTGGGGGAATCGGACAACGTAGCCGGCATGATCGCGATATGGGAATTATCGTCTGCACATGAGTGACGAGCAAGGCGAACAGTCAGTCAGCGATGCGGAAAGAACTCTCAATGGCAATCAGGTACAAATTTAGGTGGCGTGTAGCCCCAGAGTGACGATGGTGGTACCTTCAAGCAATCGATTCGAGTCCAGAACATGAAGGCCTCAGGCAGTCAGTGAGCTACGGCGCAGGTAATAGAATGCCTTGATATTGAGGCATCAATGCGCGCGCAACCTCACTTGCTTCAATCTCCTGCCATATTATTATTGTTGTTGTTGCACCTCACCTCTTACCTCACGCACTCTACCTCGTGCCACTCTCCCGATTTGGACAATTGTTCAATATCAGTATTCAAGTTCGAATAGTCTTCGCTCATACCCTCAACGTCAACGGTGAAAATCCTTCCACTCCCTGTTGCCTTTGTAGGCATTGGTCCGTGCCTTTCATTCCCTTTCCAAGCAAGGCCAACCTTGCCAGTTCTATTTGATCGCAATACAACTTCGATATGGCATTCACTTTCGGTGGGCAGGGCTCAGGTGGAGCATCCAAACCGAGCATCTTCGGCGCCAATGGCAGTGCCTTCGGTTCGAACAATCAGACTAGCTCAAATACCGCGTCAACTGGCGGAGGACTTTTCGGCAATGCTGCCGCGCCTGCTGCTAGCAACACGACCCCTTCAATCTTTGGCGCAGCAGCATCTTCAGTTACACAGAGCCCTTCGCTCTTCGGCACCACTGGCACCACCGCCGCTGCCACCCCTCCGGCAACATCGTCTGGCTTCTCTTTCGGCACTGCCAACCAGAGCACCAGCACGGCTACCCCCGGGCAGACAACTACGAGTGGACTCTTTGGCAATGCCGGAGCTACAAAGCCCGCCAGTAACCTGTTTGGATCGGCAGGTGCAGCCTCATCTGCTACAGCGACACCCTCCGGCGGCTCTCTATTCGGCACTGCATCAACTACTCCCGCTGGACCCCCGCCTGCTTCCAAAGCGCCTTCTCTGTTTACGAACATCGGTTCCTCGGCCACTCCCTCATCCAACCCTACTACATCATCCACGAAACCAGCTCCCGCGCAAACACAGCCTTCTGCCTTGTTTGGAAATGCCGCTTCTAGCGCAGGCCAGCCTTCAGCGTTTGCTGCGCCCCCATCTGGTGGCGGTCTTTTCGGAAATAACAGCAAGCCAGCCGAGACTAGCTCGCAGAGCTCTACTGCGGCCCCGGCCTCAAACCCATTGTTTGGAACCGCACCTGCAGCAGCCTCCGCGGCTGGCGACTCGACACCCAAGCCCGCATTCTCTCTAGGAGGCGCTCCTTCTGCTACTGGCACTGCTGCTTCTAAGCCCGCGTCCATCCTTGGTGGCGCTCCGTCTTCTGGAGGTGAGGCTTCTAAGCCCACGTTTTCGCTCGGCGGAGCTACTACCGCGGCACCTGCCAGCACAGCGGCAGCCGCTGCCACTCCCCAGAAGTCCCTTTTCCCCACGCTAGGCGGCACCTCGTCTGCTGGTGGTGTTTCTACCACAACGACTACTTCCTCCACTGGAAGCTCCATGTTCCCTAGCTCGGGTGGTGCCAAAACCACTGCTGCTGCTACTCCCGGAGCTACAACCACATCTACTACCCCCACTGCTACTCCTGCCGCTGCATCCAGCCTTTTCTCCAAGCCTGCCGCAGACCAGTCTTCTGTGAAAGCCCCTGCTGCTGATACTTCCAAGGATAAGCCAGCATTTGGCGCAGCTGCCCCTGCCGCAGCGACCACTGGCACATCCGCTCTTGGTCAGTCCACTGCGGGGCCTGCCCCTCCAGCACAGTCTCGTTTGAAGAACAAGACCATGGATGAGATCATCACTCGGTGGGCCACGGACCTCACCAAGTACCAAAAGGACTTCCGAGAGCAGGCCGAGAAGGTTGCCGAATGGGACCGCATGCTTGTGGAGAATGGCACCAAGGTGCAAAAGCTGTACGGAAACACCGTCGATGCCGAGCGTGCAACCCAGGAGGTTGAACGCCAACTGGCAGCTGTTGAATCCCAGCAGGACGAGCTGAGTTCGTGGCTCGATCGGTATGAACGGGAGGTGGACGAGATGGTATCGAAGCAGGTGACGCCAGGCGAGCAAGGCCCTGACCAGGAGCGAGAAAAGACGTATGAATTTACATTCCCAATGTGGACGAGAGGTACTTATCAACGAGCTAACTCCAACCTTCCAACAGATACAAACTCGCTGAGAAGCTCTCCGATCGCCTGGACGAGATGGGTAAGGATCTCACCAGCATGATCGAGGAGGTCAACGGGGCTTCTGCCACAATCAGCAAGACGAATCGGGCGGATGAGCCAGTAAGTTTCCCCGTCAGGGCGGCACTGCGGCCAGAGAACTCTTTTATGCTGATCCTCTCTGTCTCGCACCAGATCTCTCAAATCGTCCGCATTCTCAACTCCCACCTGTCCCAGCTGCAGGTGATTGACCAGGGCACTTCGGAGCTGCAGGCCAAGGTGGAAGCTGCTCAAAAGGCGGGGCAGTCGATCTCCTCGCGTCTTGGATACGGTTTCAACAGCCCTGCGATGGGTGGTGGAGGTAGCGCTGCAGACGACTTTTATCGCTCCTACATGGGCAGACGGTAGATCAGTGATGACCATGAATGCTTACCGATGGTTTTTCCGCGGACGTCAGCTGTTTGGTGTTTCAATTCATCCGTGGGCGCGAAAAGGGTTAATGCCTTGGCATGAGTTTTTAGGTTTCCTTCGGTGCCTCCGTGCGAGGTCCTATTCAGAAGTGGGAAGAAAGTTGTTGGTCTTGTTTCTAATTGCAGATTCACCGTCCATTCGTGTACTATGGAGATGACTCTTGCAACGGCAAGATTCAGACATCAGAGAAGTGGCAATCAACATACGACTCATGTCTATTCGTTCTCACAGTAGTCAATCCTCGAGTGGACATTCTGTATGTGTTATAGTAGTATGAGGCCATCCAAGGGCTTCGTCGTCGCCGATGAAGCACACTGGCTGGACCTGCCACAGTACATCCATCCATCGACACAGGGTCCGATCCAGGCTGCGTCCTTTACATACTGCACCTGGCCCGCGGCGTTTTGCCATCTTCCCCTCCTCTTCAAGTGAGACCGTAGGGTGAGGCGAAGCTGTTGTCCATTCGACCTCCCGTCGTTCCAGCCATTGCTTGTCGGGGACAGCTGCATGCCATAACTTGGTACTACCTAAAGGTACACTCACGGAGGCGTTGATCATCCTGGCTCCCCCTCGCTCATACCAGGTCATCGTCCCTCATTCATGAGGTCTCGCGCGAGCAAGTCAAATGATAATTGATACGTCGTGGCTGTCTCCCTTCATGTGCACTTATCGCTTCCTCTTAATGTGTATCACCAGACCGGGAATTTCCCTGCTCGGAAACTTGGAATCAAAGCGCGTGTTTTGCGCTGAGTGCTCGCAATATGCAGAGGGTCACAGCCAAAGCCGACTGTAAATGCGATGTCGATGTCCACACTACTTCTCCGACTATCTTCTTCTACTCTCCCTGTCTCTTCCCTGTGAGCCTAAAAATCCCCCCAGGGTCAGGGTGGCATCACGCGACTCACTTTGAAAAGGTCCAAGCCATCTACAAGCTTGGGGAGGTGTCTAATGGCTCCATCCTCGAGTGGATGTGCTCGACTCGTCAAGACTCTGGCCGCTTACAGAAGCCTACCACGGGCGCACTGACAGACCCATCACCTGAGCGTCCTCTCTGAGGCAAGTCCGGAGCAACAGTTGACTACTGCAAAGGCACCTGCTGCCGGTACCACTCAAGGTACGGGCAGTCGAAGTCGAGGCGTGACTAAGCCCTCCTCCGCATCCACCTGATGGAGGAGTGGCCGTTGGTGTTGGGGAATGGGAGGTCCACTCGGCGCTTCCCTCTCTCCCTCTCCATTTCCCCGCATCGACACCTGGTCGGACTTCCAACTGAAGTTGTCCCTCCTGACGGGTCACTCGTTGCGTGGCGGCGCCGGTGTGTATTCTTATAGAAATAGAGGGTTGTGCACTGAGCGGAGTGGCAGGCCTGCCTTTCTTTTTACGCCAATGCACCAGCAGAATGAGACCTCCGGCTCTCACTCGCGCCCTAACCGGACACATGGGGTCTTCGCTCTTTATTCTCATGTTGACGGCTTTCTGTCTCTTCGCAACGGTGGCCAATGCGCTGGCGCATGGTCCGCAGCGACCCCTTGCTGCCCCTGATGCTCTGCTATCAGATTCTGCCAGGGCCTTGGGAGACTTATCGTTGGTTCCGACCGTTTCCAAGGAGAGCGATGGAGCAAAGCCAATGAAGGCGTCGCGTGCGACGCAGACGCTGGAGGACTTGTTGGACGCCATCAATGTGATGCAAAAGGAGTACTTTGTCTTATGGCAGGGGACTTGGCCGTCCAGCATTGATTGGACTGCGGCCGTGCTGGGAACGCATGTCGCTGCGACCTTGTCAACTTTGTCATCGACTGCATACAAGATCCACTCAGACGGCGTGCAGGGGCTTTCCTTTCTAGCGCTCGAGAACACCATCAATTACTTTTTCAGCCAAACAAGCGCTTTCTACTTTGGTGAAAATGCTTTCAGTTTGCGCAATCAGGCCTACGACGACATGCTCTGGGTAGTTCTCGATTGGCTGGAGAATGTCAAGTTTCAAGACTTGCACTCTAGCCTTTACTACTCCGACTCGAATGGTGCCCGGGCAAATAGCTCATCGCAAGCTTGGTACGGTACGCAATTCCGCGATGCGGCTGCGCATCGAGCGCGCATCTTCTACGAGCTTGCCTCGGTTGGCTGGGACCAGACCCTCTGCGATGGGGGCATGATATGGAATCCCACCCTGATTCCCTACAAGAATGCTATCACAAATGAACTTTTCACCTCTGCCAGCATTGCAATGTATCTATATTTCCCGGGGGATCCAATTGATTCGCCGTTCATCGTAGCGGCACCCAGCAAGAAGCCTGATCAGCGTCGTCGTCACGATCCGGCTTATTTGAAGGCCGCCATCGACGCTTATACCTGGCTGAAGAACTCGAACATGACTGGCGTCGGTGGCCTATATGCTGACGGCTTCCATATCAGCGGCTGGCGCAGTGCCACTCAGCCTGGGTCACGCAGATGCGATGAGCTCAACACAATGGTGTACAGCTATAATCAAGGGGTGATCCTCAGCGCACTCCGGGGCCTGTGGCTTGCCACGGGTGAGTTGCAGTATCTACGTGACGGCCACGATCTTGTACGCAAAACGCTACGTGCCACCGGTTGGCCTCATCTGTCATCAGACAAATGGGCCGGACTGGGCCGGGGTGGCGTGATGGAAGATACTTGTGACTCGCACGCCAGCTGTTCTCAGGATGGACAGACTTTCAAGGGCATCTTCTTCCATCACTTGGCCGAGTTCTGCCGGCCGCTACGGCCCCAGGAGGCGAAGTTTCTAGAGGATCAAACCGATGAGTCTGCTCGGGCTCAACGGCGAGAGGACGTGTTTACGCAACATCTGGGGATTTGCCGTGCCTATGGGCCATGGGTCGAGCACAATGCGAGAGCAGCGTTGCAGACGCGCGACGCTGATGGCAAGTTCGGTCAGTGGTGGGGTCTGCCATTCGAACAGAGGCATGTCTCGAACGATATGGTCAACAGTAGCACTCTACCATCAGGAGCGGATGATTATCGCAATCGCAAGTCGGACACGGCGGTGACGCCCTTACATTTTAGGCCACGCGACTTCAATGATAAAGGTCGTGGTCGTACCGTCGAGACGCAAGCTGGTGGCTTAGCTGTCCTCAGAGCGCTACTGCAGTGGCAAACCAGTGAAGCCCTGTCATGATGGCGATGGTGACTCCGGAGTTTGTATTCTTGGATGTGCATGAGGCCCATTGGTGGCTGGAGCAAGCAGCATGTTTTCTGTCTCTACACACGGCGTCTCCAAGTTTCTGTAGCATACCATTCATTGACTCATTCATATTGGTTTCTGTTTCCTTGGGTTGTTCCCTTCATGATCCATGGTCGCTTCCTATATTCCGTTGTATGAGCTCCATTCAAGCTCAATCTCGGGTTGATTTCTATGAGTTGCCCTCGTACTATCTGACACTGAGAGACAGACTGACAGTACTTCGACTGGCAAACTTTTACGTAGACTTATCCTGTTCTTGACGAAACTATGAGCTGACCGGCCCTTTGATCTTTCTATCTCCTCTCCCATCGCGACTGAAATCCCGTCACCGCAACTGGAGGAAGTACAAACTGGGCATTGATTTCCCACAAGAAGGTTTCCTTCACCTGGCACAACACCGCTTAGATCCATGTTACTTGATGTGTTCTTCCAATTTGTGGGGGGCATAGGATTACTGTGATATAATTTTCCTGTCCCTGTGACGAAGAGCTCAATTGATACTGTACATTCCGCCGCCTGCCAAGCTCCACCGAAGCTTTAGAACGGGCACCACCCAACACCGTCCACCACCACTAACTTACCACTCATATGTTACTGTAGTAGTCTTCTACAACTACCCATTCCATTTCTATTGCTCTCAATGTTCGATTCATCATTCCAATACTCTTTTCGAGTTTTTTTTTCTTTTATTTTTATTTTTTTTCTTTCTAATTTCTGGTTCGGTCGGAAGCGGGTGAGGTGTGAGTGGCCCCCACTTCTTCTCCCTTTTCGCCTTTGGGGGGGGGGGGCAATCAAGGATTTTCGGTGTAAAAACCGGATCCCGCCACAGTACTGAGGACAGGAGTAAGTGATCTACAGCCCAATTTGCTAACAGTAGCACCTTCCTACAAATCTGATGTAAGATGGTCGCTATTATGATGGTAGATGGATGACTATACTACTGCATGGGAGTCAATGAAAAGTACTGTAAGCTATTCGAGTATACATCATACATCGAGAATGATCTTGCACTTGCTTCTGCTTTTGTCCCCTGAGGTCTTGAAAGTAGACGGTGACGTGATGTTCTCCAGCTGAATGTGTACCTGTGTCAGCCCTGAGTTGATGGAATCCAATTAGAAAGCAAACACAAGGTTGGCCTTAATTTCTTCCTCTTCTATCTGACGGTAGAACACTGGTGCATCAGATAGAAGGGGAAACAGGTAAGTAGAAGGGGGGAATTTATACTTTTTTTTTTCTTCAGAGGAGACAGCCCGATGAATCGTAGATTTGGATCTTGAATATCTATCAAGGCGCAATGAATCATGACGATTGAGTTTAATGCATTTCAATTGAGACGGCCATGTGCAAGACTGGAAGTGAAAGATGGTCTCATCCAGTTTATAGTTTCAATCCACCGTGTAAATGCTAAGATCATATACAACACCAGACTGATCATATACAACACCAGACTGGAAGCATATTAACCCTGGAACCTCCTGGCACAGGTATAGACAGCACTTCCGGAAATCGCTGTCACCCACCACCTACAATCTTTCGTTGTTTCTTGAATCCTAATGCCAAGACCTACGATACTGTATTAAGAATATGTAGATACCGGATATTAATATTCCCGCGTAGTCAGCTACACATATTTTACTCTATTTAATACATGATAATCCGTTTCGTTCCTGCATGATATAGCTAGAGTTTTCCCATTGGAAATTCCAACAAGTCAAGCACAAGAAGCTTGAGTAGGCTCTTGAGATTCGGCAGGGCGCCACTCCCGTGTCCAAGTGACGGTCTGGGGCCTACTCGGTACAGTTCACGCGCAGAGAATTGATGAATCGTATCGCAATATGTGATTGGCGATAATTCTAAGCAAATAGTGATTTATGACCCGAATCTACAGATATCTCCATGATCGATAGCACTCCCTGCGATTCCCTAATACTTCTTCTCCCTCCCTCTGTCCTCTCCCAGGTTCTCTATAATTACTCAAATCCACCTGATGGCGATTCGGAAGGTGGTTTCTGCTTGTACCGAGATTTTGAGGTTCCGTCCTCATAAAGATGTCCCGTTCCCACTCTCCTTCCTTCGGCATCCAGAAACTGGACAGACATGACCTTCTTCGGGTCGGTCGGATCTTTTCATCGTTTGCGTGATTTATGCAACTCAGGTCCCTGTACAGAGGCTTGTTTGACGCGAGGATCCCGAATTTAATACGTAAAAGGAGTCCACTTGACGTTGGCAAATGACTGACGCGCGTTTCCGGTGATCTCATCACCTTAATACCTTCTGCAGATTAGATTTCTCTTTCCTTTTCTCCCTCAGGCTTTTCGACCTTCGTTGGATACACAAGTTGACCTCGAACTTTTTGGCACGTAACACTGAGAGGTTTCGAGCGTCTCGCCGAGGGTTATGCATCGTATAGGAGTCTAAGCGCGCTAAACAAATGCTTATAGGTTTCACGTGTATTATGCAAAATATGCTATCTCTACTAATGTGAGTTTAAGATACTACCCGGTTTTAAATTTGGAGGACAATTATTTAAATAAGATTGGCTGGGATCAGAGCAGCCACGGATCCTTAAGTAGTTGTCTTGCGGTCCTGCGCTCTTCCGGCAGCCACTTCAGTATGGACCGAAGAAAGTGAAGAAAGGATTCTTTTTCGGTGCCAGAGAGTCGCTTCTCTAGACTTTCTAGGAAAGTCGAAGGCATAACCGTATCTTCATGAGCAATCTAAGTACCTACAATAATGTCAACTCAAGAGTTTGGATTTTATAGAAAGAACTGAAAGCGGAGGCGACGGAGGCTGCCTTGAGAGGGACGTAATGTTGTCCTAAAGGCAGACTTCAAGACGCTCAAGCGTGGAGCCATGCCTAGCGTGGGGGAGAGAACAACTTTCGTGTCTGAAAGAACTTTGGTTGTTCGCGCTTCGCAAGACTCGAAATGTTATCCTTGACGGACGTTTTGGTCTGAGGCACTACGTCACGGAAATATGCTTAATCCGAGTGGTCTTTCTGGGTCACCCGTCAAAATCACAACCCAGATAAGAGGACGGTTTGACAGCTTACCGCACACTGCAGTCACAGCTATAGAGGATGAAGGAATAATCTTGATATTTAGTGACGAAGCTGACAGATATTTCTGTCCTTGCATTTGGCACTACTTTGAGGTCCGCAGCCCTGAGATGGGTCATGATGCTCCCAGGACATCGAAGACGGCCGAGTCACGTGCACCTCCTAATACCGTAGTATCCCCCCAGGCCTTTCTAAGCCCTGATAAAGGTATAAATCTGGCTTTTCGAGTAGATGGTCGCATAGGGCGTCTAGCATACTTGGCGTGATGCTTCCTAACAGTCCAATTATGCTGGAAGGAGCGTTGATGCTACCGAAAAGTCGCAGGTGAGACTGGATCCTGGTGATTGAGCGCTTGCTGCAGCCAGCGGCTTTAGCCATCTGGGAGACGGTTAACTCACCACAGTTTACCATATCATGAATGAGCACGATATAGATTTGGCTAGGTGGGGAGCATTGGTTCGTTGCACTGCTGGTGTAAATCATTCGTGGTTGAGGAGGACATCCTTGGGGTATTGACGTCGGACATTCAGGCAGCGCCGCAGCGGTGTCTAACTATGACAAGTAGCAAACACGTGCCCCAGGTTATGTATTTGTCCGATATTTTACGGAACAAGGCCCAAGATCGGGGATTTTCACAGACTATGCTAAACATAGGCTAGCGTTTCTTGGCACTAGGGTTTGAGAGACAAGGGAAGAGTGTAGGGGGTGACACCGATTTCCGGAAGTAGTGTACTAGGTCAGTCAGCATTTCCAGAACACGAGTGTAGTGAAAGATACTTTGTTCTTTGAAACCATGGGTCCATATATGAGAATGATGGTATTTTCAAAAGAAGACATTCCATCATCGGTGGTACTGTATAGTGTACATATGCCCTCCCTGGAAAAGGAAAAGGAAATTCTACCTTGCTTCGATAATGCCGACAGAGCAAAGCAGGAAAAGGAGCTTTTCGGGTTCCAAGGATGCTTGCTGTACCTAATTAGTGAAACCCACGACGGGTTCAGTCATCCGCTATCCGCAGACCGGCCTCGCATAGATACACACTCAGGATCGAGAAACTGCAGTGACAATCTTCGAATGTAGGGACATACATGACGGACGATAGCAAGAGGAAGTTGTGTCTTAGCTGTGCTATCCAATCGTGTTATATAGAATGTATATAGCATATACTGTCAGTATATACTTGTGTCCATCCCTACCTACTCCAGTTGGAGCCCTTTCTCACTCCCATCTCTCAGTGATGATTCCCTCTTAAAATCAATTCAACTGGAAAAGCATGAATAATCAAAAAGCGCATTAATTCAAATCCTCAATAATGAAAGACACTAACAGAAATGAAAAATGGTTCGCATCCACAGTGAAAGGGGAGCAGATCCATTTAGTCCGGTAACCATCCCCATGATTGGCCGTGGAACAGACACTGAATATCCCGCGCGGAGCCCGGAAAATCTCCCATAGCTCGCTTCCATATCGGTAAATGGTGAGCCCTTGAAAATTTCGGCTTTTGTGATTGACGGGAAGAAGGTCGGTATCAACTGGGATGACGGAACTTGTGCAAGCTGCAGAATCATGAGACGGATCATAGGTACAAAAAGAAGGACGGAAAGGCGATCAAGTTGAGGCTGGGAGTAAGTAAACATACTATTCGTGTATTTATTGTAGCATTGGGGAGATGGATCATGGCCGAGGGAAAGAGTCAAATTTACAACACAGTTGAATCACACTGGGTATGAGGCTAAGATTGACCACCTACAAATCCAATTACGCAATGTCTGAAAAGCATCGACTAGATGGATACATATATCTGTACAATAGAACTTCAAAACCAGATAAGTCAACATTGTAGGTAACTATCTGCAATTGACATGACATTGAGGC